TTCGCCGCCTGTACTTACGTTATCTCTCTGCGCGACGACGTACGATCGTTCCTAACGGCGTGCGAACCACCTTGAGAAGCCTATCGTAACGGGGGAAATGAACCGACATGCGCGTATCTAAAACGCTTCCCTCCGCGAACTCCGTTGCACTGGCGAACTATTTCTTGCGGAAGCGAGCGAGCGAGCTTTCGCCCGGAGAGCACGAATAGCCAAGTAGTTTTCTTACGCGGCTACCAGAAGTTGCCCGCAGAACTTTTCAAATATCCGTAAAACGTCTTTCAGCGCGGAAAACACCTCTCGCGTTAATTCTCAGTCAGTCGACTGTGGCTCCGACTTGCCGAGGTTCATGATCATCGTGACGTTCTCGCTCTAGATGCCATCGGAGGGAGCTCACGCCGAGTGCTCTCAAGAACCACCGGTCAGGAAGTTCTCCATGAATCCGGCAAAGGATCTGGGTTCTTCCCCGCGCGCGAATTCCGGGCCTCCCACCGAACAGCTGATCCGTAGAAATTCGCCAGACGGAAATCTTCGGCGAACTCTGCGAATCTGAGAAGGTTCGTCTATCACTCGCGGAGAGGCTAGTTTCCCGCGGGAATATCGGACCGGGAACGTGGAGGCGAGGTGACGGGGCGGGGGACGCCAACTCTGAATCTACAAGGCGGCTGCAACGCCGCAATCTGAGGCTCCCGTGAGCGGCGACGCCGGCCGTGACAGCGAATGCCATGTGCGAGCCAGCTGAGGGATCGACGTACACTTCCTTCGGATTCTCGCTCCATGGTTTGCTTGCCCAACAAAGTCTTGACGCTCCACTGCGAAACCGGGGCTGTTGATCCGCAGCGACTAAATATGAACGGCAAGCGACCGGTCGGACAGACAGACACACAAACAGACAATCGGACAGGCGGACAAGCTAGTTACTTGGCGTTGGGCAGACGTTAGATAGACGTCCGGACAAGCAGATCGTGACGATGCTTCCCTTCGTCAGTCCGTCGTCAAAACAACGGGAACGACAGCTATCCACCGACGACGGCCGCCGCGCCGCAGCGACCTCTGAAGCGGCTCGAGTCGTGGTGGTGGTGGCAGCGGCAGCAGCAGCAGCAGCAGCTCTGACAGAATAGCGTCAGACGCCGGATCAACATGGCGCTCGCCGCTGCGGTGGCGACGGTGACTACGGCAACGGTGGCGACTACTACCTCCGCTCTTTCAGTTTTCGCCACCACGTCCTGATTTTCTGATTTGGACTACTGAACAATGTTGCTCTCCGACTGACTGCTACAAGCGGTGTCGACGGTGTTGGTGGTGTCGGCAACGACGACAACGACAGTGGTGGCAGCGTTCAACGACAACGACGACAGCAGTGGGTACGGCGGCCGACAGAAGCAGCGACACCGACACAACAAGAGCATCGGGGAGTTTCAGCTGATCGCCCGTTCAGTGAACTAGGGTTTATCCACCGTGCTGCGATACGAAAGTCTTTCTGATTCGAGGATATGAAATAGAGTCCCAAAACATTCTGGAGGTAAGTGCCACTGACAGCTCTCTAGGCGTGTTGTTGGAGAAGATAGAGGAGAGATTTCGGTTGCCAAGCCGCTAGAATCCAGAGAAGACTCCACCGAGGACGGAGTAGCCTCTCGTTTCAACTTCGGGGCGAGTGTTTGAAAATCATTTCGTAAAACGAGCGGTGATCTCCATGAGCGTCAGAATGATCAAGGCTTCTGATCCAATCCCAGGATTATTCTAGAAAGCCATCCGGAGCTCTGACAACGATGAAGTCTACTGCGGGTTGAAACTCGTCGACACCGGCAGACACATTGTGGCAGGGTACCAGCGTGAGCTCGGATTTCGTCCCGAGCGTGTTGCATGCATGTTCCAACATTCGTAGCATCTACGGGACTTCTGTCTATTGCCGAGACACCTTGATTCCTATTGCATGGCTCCGAGAAACCACGTTGCCGACTTGGGGAAACTCCGTTCCCCACTCGCTTTTCGGTTTAGCGGTAGGATGTCAGATCCGTGGAGGATTTCGTCCGTCCGTCCGTCAGTCAGCTGGTTCCGTCGATACTTGTGTCAGTTATTGGTCCGAGGACCGGCATCGACGTTCCTTCTGGCCGGCAAGCTATTCATTTTGCTCGTCCACAAGCTGAGAATTTTGACACCGGTGAGCGACGTTGTCGACTACGAGCACTGGAACGACTACGACCTGTGGCAGCAGCAAGGTAACCAGTCGCTCTTCACTCGCTCGCTCAATCAGTCACTCGGACAAGCTGCGATGGTAACATCTGAATTTTAGAACCATTACCTCGCAGCGAGAACCGCTCTTCAGTCGGAGCGGTCCTATAATCTTGTGCAAGACCCATGATCTTGGAACACACGTGAATAATATCGTCTCATACGCTGAGGAGTTTTTCTCTTCTCGCCCAGAAGGGTCCGTGTCGGAGTGCGGTCTCCCTCCAGCGAAGAGTTTCGATTTTCTTCTCCTGACATTTTTTAACGGGTCACAAACAATAGCGTGGAGCATTCGAATTACTCGCTTGGATGGCGAAGTGTCGACGACCAGGAGCGCTAAGCCGCCAGCCGTGCCGAGTTCGCGTGCTCGAGAGCTCCTTGAACTTGAACGGATTCCGGGTGACGTTCGGCTGCAGTTCTGATTCTATGTAGGTTACTATGTGCTTCGGGAATATTTCCGTGCGGACACCGTTCCAACAACAAGCAAGTGGGAATTCGCCGAGGTCACATCTTCCCACATCGCTTATTCCAAGCCTATATACTGCACAGTGAAACATCCCACATCTCTTAAGAAATGGGTGGGGTGTATTCACTGGCGGCCGGCGTACGCGCACGCCGATACTTTGTGGATGGAAGCACAAATTAACGGTCCCCGCCGCCAAATCGCTCCGTTCAATGAAAGCCAAAATCACCGCCACCACCGAATTCGCGACTTTCATTCGCTTTCTGGGGTGTGTGTGTGACTTGTCGCGATGACGTCGCCGACCGACGGCGGTACCTCATGATGGTGCGGATGATTTATCATCAAGCACAGCGGAAACTCCTACGTCTTTTCAGCGATTCCTGACGAAAACGAGGCGTGTTCCCATTGAGCGGCGTACACCTAGTGTCAAGCGGCCGACTTCCACGAAGAACATGCTCCGCACTTTACCGTTCCGTTCGTCGCTTCTTTTCGATGTCTAGAGAGAATCTGGCCACAGAAAATCGCGAATGAAACGCCTTTCTAGTCAAAACGCGACGCAAGACAGCGTCGACTGCGTTCTCGTGCCGCTATCGATGAGCGTGCCGTCTTACCCCATCGATGGTTTCCCGAGTTTGACGTTTCACCCGAGTTCTGACTGACTGACCCTAGCCCGGAGCTGGGGCCAAGTCGCCTCGATTCCGATCCCCTCCCAGGCGGCTCGAACGTCTCGATCGAGACTTTAACGGGATATACCTCCGTCTCCCCGTGTCTCGTTCCATCAACCGGTCAGATACAGAATGCGCTCAATGCTCATTGCGCAACCACACACATGTCGAACTCCGATCTCCGGCCGTGGATCGAGTGACTCACGCCCTCAGTCGGCGTGGCTCGACGCGTAATTGCACGAGCGTGTCAACACCTAGCTCCTGTCATTGAGGAAAAACCTCGGAAGGGTCGTGCGGGATCACAGCAACAGCGGGACGGAGAGCGTTTTTGGGAGCGAATGAAGGGATGATCGACCGAGCGCTCGATTCTCGAGGGTCAAACGCTGAGTCCAGGGTGAGCAAACTTCATCAAAGCCTCATTTGTTATCGCTGCAGCGTCGACGGCTCGAGAGAAATCGTTCGTCTGGGAGCAAGTTTCTCGATATTCTCTTTCTGAAACAACTTATCCGCTATCGGCCCATCACTTTTCGGCGGCGAGGCTTGATGACATAATTCCCTTGCTTCTCACATGCAGGACTCTTCCACTCAGTGATCATGACACGACCACCACTGGGACATCGAACTTTGTTCAAAATCAGAACTTTTGTCGTTCGCTCCCAAAATAGCTGCTGCAGAATGGACTCATCAGAAGCACCGCGTCGCGCGCCGAGTCTTCTCCGCTCGAATATTTCCTTGCGGCCTGGACGACGAGCGGTGTTTTCCCTTCTCTCGAGCGAGGAACGCATTCATTGTGTTCTGCGCCGTAGAGTACGCTTCGGAATTCACTTCATTATAACAAGAGTACCGAGTGACTCGCATCGAGGCTCCTAATGGACTGTGTCTGACTGAGGTTATCGGCAGCGGCGCGGCGTACTATCGATGAGCGTGGATCCGGACTTAGTGAGCTACCTGTGGCAGCGTGGTCCGCGCTAGCTGCGATCGTTAAACTTCCTCGCATTGTGAGCCCGGATCACTGATGGGAAACCTTGGATATAGCCTAATAGTTTGGCACGAGCTAGCTTCGGACGCGGGCGGGAAGCGGTTGAATGGTCCGTGTGAGCGGGTCGCGCGGGAGAGTGTATCTTTTTAACAATGATTCCGACAAAAAGCGTCCTGGGAGCTAACGACACTTTCACGGGATCGCTTCCCGCAAGTCTTTCCGCTCAAAAAGCTCGCTACCCCCCGCACGTTCCGCTAGACAATGGCGGTGATAATGCGGGGCTGAATTCTCCGTCGAGTTAATCTCCGAAACGAACACGGAAGACGCCTCATGCTGAGATTTTTCATTTACACCCCCTGATCTCAAGGCTCGCTGTGTTTAACGCTGAGAAGCTCTCGGCCAATTACTGTGCAGCTTCCCGGCCTTTGGAGGATCTGTGTTCTGCTCTTCTGCGCCTGATAGCCGATCATGGGGGGATTCCAGATACGAAATTTTTTGACAGCGAGACGGCTGTTCCTCACGAGAAATGAGCGAGGCTCATCTTTATGTGCGGCAATGAATCTCATCGTCGGGACAGACTTCACCATCATCATGCCAATAAATGTAGTTTACAATCGGAGCCCCCCTGGTATAACCTATATATTCCGCGAGCGAACATCTGGTTCTCAACACTTATTGTTAGTTATCAGATGCAGTCTCACGAGCGGGATCCATCCGCGGTAGAACCGCGCTAAGAGTTCCGACATCATTAGTCCCGGAGATCAATTCTCGAATAGTTCTCATTGGCTTCTTAGTCATCGTCGGACGACGGAGGAATGCATTGTTTCAATTGAATGAAATCTCCAAGTTCGTTTCGAATCTGCCTCTGTGAATGTAGCAGGTGGGAGCAGTTCTTCGACTCCTCGTAGAATTAGGCGTATAATAATCGATTCTGAAGGTCTCTCTCCTTTCCAGCGATGACGGCTGTGATATCGGCAGCAAATCTCAATTTACAATCTATAATTGAGAGTGAAGATGAACATTTCGAGGATGCAGTCTGCTCGATGGATGTTCCTTCATTACTGGACTTGGTGTCGACGCTGCAGAATGCGATGGCCGTGGAACAGAGGTACGTACGGTGGTTCCTTCCATGTTCCAGATCGTTCCCGTCTCTCGGAGGGAAACCTGCGAAATATAACGATGGAGAATCCAGTTCTCAAGGGAGATAGTCCTCCCGGAATGTCTCACCGAGTCGTGAGCTGTACCCCGCCTCCGGGTATCTCTGAGATCGCTCCCTGAAGCGACTTGGTGTGTTCTCTCATTGAGCGAATAATTTCAGATATTTCGATGCACTGAGTCAGAAACTGGAATCTGTACCACCGTCCTCGGTGGAATACCAAAAGCTCTCAACGGCTCTCTGTGCCTCGCAATTACAACTTGCTAAACTCTGTACGCGCAACATGCGCTGTTTCACTCAGCAAGCCATAAGAGCCCGAGAGGATCCCGCGAGTCTGGTCGCCGGCAACAGTAAGCAGCCTCCTATTTTTGTCCTTCGCTTGAGATTCTCACCTGATGCACGCTCGGATGACGGATCAGAATCTCGCCTCTTAATGGTTTCGATTTAGTTTCTGACTTTCAATTGAGTGCAGGGAAGCCACCGTGGTCTGCCATCTCGTTCATTCCTTTCAATGCGTTCGCTCTCGGGCAACAGCGGACCGCGTTAGCGCCGCGTGGACCTGCCCGCGAAGTGCTCAAGCCCATATTAATTTAATTTCCAGCGGGTCAATCAATATGCCCCGGGATCCCGACTTACCTCAAGGCTTCGTCCTCGCCGGTTTTCGATTACGATGATAATCTGATGCATGACTTCAACACTGTCGAGAGACTCACGCAGGATCAGGTGAGAGGAAATTCCATACGGAAAATCCTGCGGACACCTCCCCAAGCAGAACGAGTATAGACTCGATTTTTCGCCAAACGATTTGAGCGGGAACGATCGAGTTTCCGATCGCCGCGCTGTTCGGTCCGTGGGCCGGCGGAAGGAATCGGTATTCCATTTGGGATTCCGAGAAGTTCGATCAATGTGTCGCTGAAGTCGCCTCGTTCGTGCAGGTGCATAACTTGATCGCGGCTAGTGGTTTCGATAACGTGGATGCGCAACTACGTCATATGTTAGAAGACGGCTCGAGAAAGAACAACAACGGAGTAACGTTGAACGATGGCGACGATATCGCTCTGGACATCGCTCTGAACTCTCACGACGACGACACTGATGATGTCGATCAGTACGACTTTTACTTGAACGGTTAGTATCCGCTCCTCCCGGCATCGCTCTTTCATCTCGATCTGTTTACTTCCACTGTTGACGAACGTTGCTTATTATCCCCTTCTCGTATCAGATCCGACCAAAGAGCTGGAAGTTATTCCCGAAGAAGAACGTGAAGAACAATACTACGAGGAACCACAGAGGCGTAAGATCCAGCCATTGAGACTACAAGCCCACCTCATGGGATCCCTTAGGAGTCAGTCGTCGAGGTACGAGCCCCGGCAGATGCTTCCGACCGTATCGATTCACGAAGGCTACGGTCCAGCCAGAAAATCTGAAACCCGTTTCCTTCCAGATTCGACTCGTCGCAGCTACTCGACATGGATGCCAGTTCCGAAAGCTCGGACAGCAACTCGGTGAACACCGTTGTCACGGAGATCAGAAATCAATATCCGAGGCCGACCAAGAATAACCAGAATAACGGCACCAACGGCACTGCGAATGTCGAAACCCATAAACTTTTAGAGGAGCGCGCGGAGAAAGTCCGAGCAGCGATGGAAAAGCTCATTCGAGACCACCAACCGAAAATTTCTCATTCGGCGAACCTCTTGACTCTGATAAAGAATTTCGAGACCATCGCGAATAACAACGAAAAGGTGAACTTGTGACAACTCCCTGAATCCATTCTTCGTAATCGCTCCCTCGATGAGGACCGCAGCAGATCGATCGGGCTCCGGCTCGTGAACGTTGGAGGGCACGATTTTAATGGAGCGTATTAATCAACTCGCAGGTTTTCGAGCGTATTCGGCATCACCAAGCGCCTCCCCGGAGGAAAATCGTTCCCGCCACGTCTTACATAAATCAATCGTCCGAATCAGCCGACGAAAGATCCGCCGTCGTTAATTTTCTCAACCCGGTGACAGTGTCGATGTCTAATGCAAATCGTCCGAACGCGGCAACATTCGCGAGAGAGGTGAGGATCGACATTTCTTTAAACCGTTTCGTCGGAGCGGAATTTCATTCGGATGGGAGAAGGAAGACGGTGCTCGGTTCGGCCCAGGAACCTCGTTCGCCAGACTCGTCATACATTTTTCGCTCGATTCATGGCGTTGCGTGCGCCCGCCCGCACGCCCAGAGAAGAACATGCAGAGCTATCCAAATCCAATTTCGGCGGGGGGAGCCCGTCTCCAGAGAATATTCCCATCCATCCTTTCTGAGTCGTATTTCGTTTTTCGGAAACAAAGTACAGAACTCAGCATGGGCCACAATAGATACGATAGAACAATCAAGTTGGGTGGACGGGAGGCGCGGTTGTTTTTACCTCTTTTGAATTCGTTGCGGAAGAAAAACGGTGCCACCACCACTTTCCGGACAAACAACAGCGGCTCCGAGTTCTGACGCAGCAGCGATAAATACTCCGATAAGGTGGCTCTTGCCATCGTCGGCCTTATTGAGTTGTAAATCGGTTCCGAGCGAATTATGTGGACGGATCGGCTTAGGAAGCTGATGCCCTATTTTCTTCTTTTTGCACGACTATCGAAATTTCTCTCGGAGCTCAATCAAACGTATCGAGTCATCGGCTCCGTTTGAGTGCTAAGCGATCGGTTCCAAGCGCTGCTTTCGGAGACGAACACTGTTTGCGTACTTGTCCGGGAATGTCACGTTCACTGTTGAGCGTAAAGACACGCTCTTTCTTTCATTATGGAGGATTACCGCTCGCTTGAGAATTCGTTCCGCTCGAAAGAAACCGATGCCATCGCCTGTTTCGCTCCATTCTCCCGTGGCGAGCTGACACAATGGCGAAACGACGCACATATTCTCTTCGTTCTGATTCAGACGTTGGATTGACGCGATCGGAGCTCTCCGAGAGGTCGGAGAGTCTACAATGATATGACTGTTCCCCGCTGCTTCACCATCTTCGCTCGAATTCTTTTAAGGAAGGTCGGATTTCCTTCTCTTCTCCTTCTCCAATCACATCTGAAAGGAGCCGGGCTTTTATCACGCATGCTTGATAAATGAGCGACGGAGTTTGCTCGAGAAGAATGAACGAGTTCCTTCCTCGAGGGAGGAATGGAAAGAGGAGGGTAGGAAGTCGATTGATTCAACTCCGCTCGGGCGCGCTTGTTGATCGCGTAGTTCTAGAGATCAAGGGGTTATACCCTCTTGTTCGATTCCGGGTCTCTTGCAGCGCTCGATGGCTGGATTAGGGCCGAAATAGGTTCCAAGCGAAAGCCGACATCAAGTCAAGACGAAAAACCTCAAATAAACTTGACCGACCGGGGAAAGACTCGCCGGAAGATCGCTTTCGGTTCACAATTGTCGTTAACTTCGAGGGACGACGAGTATCTCATTCCACCCCCGCGTACTCAGATGTGGCGAGAGCTTCCGTGTCCAGCTCCCCGATCGAAACTCCCCTAAGCTTGCCAGAGCGTGCTTGGAACAATACGCAACATGAAGTCAGCTTTGAGCTCAAAGTTTTTTATCCAGACAGAAACTCTAGGGTGGCGCTCGATCGCTGGCTATACGAAAGCATAATCAGAGCGGTCTGCGCGGCTTTTGGCCTTATCGGCTTGAGTCCATATCCCCCGTTTCTCGGTCAAGCGGCGACTACGGTGAGTTCATAGGATCGGGATGATTTTTTCGCGATTAAATCGTATTGTTCGCTGAGGTCGTCGTCGAAATTCGATTCTTCAATAATCCGCTGTTAGGCTTGATTTGTGGCCTCCGTGCCTCTTTATGAGCCGCTCCGACTATCATAAGGCGCGCGCCGGCCACCGCCATTGTCAAGAAAAATTTCTAAGCATTTTCACGTGACAGCTTTCCGCCAAGCCTCCTCTCGGTTTGACGCGCGCATTTTCGTCTCACTGGAGATTGTTCACAACGGTGGCAGCTGTTTGACAGATTTGTGTCTCGTTTGCGAGTTTGCCTCATGTGGCAGCGTTTGCTGCGAGTACGAGCGGATCGCCATCAATCTGCGGAAGAATTGCGGAAAAAAACGCGGAACTCCTGTGCCCCGGACTGCTGAGGTTGGTATCCGGGATAGCCCAAGTGAGCTGATCGCTTGGAATGTACGTTGTCATTGAATCGCCTCGCGGACGGTGACGAAACGTACAGGAGCGTCCAGCACAAATCCAGCCTACCGGCAGAGCGGCGTGCCCTTCGCAGCGTTCCACGACCTGTTTGTATACCACGCTCAGTTGCGGAGGAGGGACGTCCAGCGACAATCCCTGAGTTTGTCCAAAGCGGATAATTCCGCTAATTGGGAACGAACTGCGAACAGTTCTAATTGCATGCGGAAAACTGCGGAAACGCATATCTTGAAGCCGCAGCCGGACAGCTCGCCAGAGAACAATGGACTAGACAGATGACTCAACGGGACGATGAGAGCGCAACACGGAACACTGTGGACAAAGGAGTATTCGAAAAGCGGCACAGGAGCAATCTTAGTGTGTGATTGGAGAACAACAGATCGAGATCTCCTTCGGGAGCAATTCTGATCCGAGAGAGTTGAAATTATCTAAATTCTTCTCGCTTGCTATACGCACTCAAGGAGAGCGTCAGAGACCGACGGTGCCCTTGCAACGATGTCTTGATGGGGCGGCGCGGCGTGGAGAAAATCCCGAAATTCCCTCCCGATAACTATTCGTGTCCCCTTTGCAGAGCATTTTCGAAGCCTCAGAGAGCCTTAAACCGGTCACAATTCATCGCTTGGAAATACCGAGCCCTGCGAACGACGTCCCGGACGGTGGGCTAACGACGAACTTGACGAACCAATTAGGGAATATGAACTTCTCATTGAAGTCGAAAGTGGAAAACACGCTGGCGACTAATGAAACCTGTTACGATCGGTCGCACCTTTCCGATCGAGACTCACGTAAGTTACCTCACTCAAAGCTTCCGAGTCGAACTTCGCTAATTAAAACTTCGCGATGATGGCGTTTCGCGTCAGCTGCAACTTCGTTTGCCTTACTATACGAAATTCGAGAGATCTGACCGAGTGGAAGGATCAGCCAAGGAATTCGTTATCCTCTTCCGCGGATCTCGCTGTAATCTCTCATGATCAATAGTCCTCATTCGCTGGGCAAGATCGTCTCCGGTTTCCGGAGGCTCGCCTACGGCTCGGAATTCACGCGTTGTTGGGAGTTCCTCTCTTCTTGTTTCACTTCTTTTGTCCAAACCTGGCATACTGTTGTCCTGAAGTTGAATGTCGATCCCCGAACAGGAGATAGAGGGGACCAGACAGTCGTTGGAGCCCAAGCTTTGGTAGAAAACATGGACGATCCTCTGGACTCGCTCGCAAACTCGAAGTGGTCGAAGTCGCTGAGTTCAACGAATCTGTGCGGTAGTGAAGCACTGGTTTCGTTGTTGAAGGTACGTGACTCCGATTGTGTGTATGTATTTTATCAATCTTCCGGCGTACGGTCAATCGGCTTGAGGAAAATCCTCTAAGAGTTCCTTCTCCACCGTATTCAGACCATGTACGTCCTGCCCGAGGTTCAACCGATTGAGGCACCTCCCAGCTTCGGAGGCTATGCGAACATCGTGCTGCACTCGAAATTCCGGGAGAAGTATCTTCGACTCGAGGACGGCAAACTAAAAGTTTACGAGGGAGAATTCACGGAGAGGCCCTTGCAGAAAATCGACCTGACGGGGAAGTGCTCCCTACAGATTTTGGACGACAGAAGTATCGGTTTGGAATTTTCCTGTGAGTACGCCGGCATTTATTTCCGCGACCTTCGCATGCAGCCTGCTACCTCGCAGAGCGCTCCCATTCCACTTGGGAACAGTCGAGGACAGAGAATACACTTGTTTTGAGCTTTCCATCGAAGCGCCCATCGATTCTATCGCTGAATCCTGCGAGCAACGTTGACCCCATCCTAAAAATGTGACTACCTCACCGGATATGGCAGATATGTGAAAGCAGTGGGAATTCTTTCAGCACCGACGAGCCCAATCCAGGCGACTGTGATACAATTGCCCGCCACCCGTGATCGAGATACATGGTTTCAATACCTCGTCAAGCATGCCGATATCAGTCTGAATTTCGTTGTGCCTGCAGCACGTCCTCTGAGCAGCCATAAGAAATGCGTCGTCATCGATCTGGGGTCCTGTTCCATCAGAGCAGGAATACTCATGGATCAACCGACGCTACCGCAGATTTATTTTCCTTCCTTCTGTGCCATTGACAAGACTTCGAAGAAGGTTTATTTCGGAGAGGATGCCCTCAACGAGAACGTGAGTTCGATAAACAACCCGGATCGTGGTTTTTCATTCAGACCGCCTCTCCGCGCCTCTGTTTGTCGAACGAATTTCACCGAAATTTGTTCGAGCGAAGAGCAAACACTCATTCAATTTAGGCTGATCGCAGAGGGGGATTCATTTTTCCAGATTCGTAAAAACTGCCGAACCGTGTTTCCTTTGGCACCAGCGGACAAAGTGGTGAAACTCACAATGGACGTTTCCTGCTTGTCTCACATAGTCTACAAAATATTCAACGATCTTCATTTGACGCGGGCTCAGCTGAAGGACTATAATGTTCAGGTAGCCATCAATTCGGCGAAATTATTTCCCTCTTCCTTCGTCTCCTCGGTTCGCGTTGCTCGGACGAACGAGGTGTCGGACGGATCGAGGGAAAGCGAGTAATCGCTTCCTCGGGATCCCAGACACCACGACAGACACTCTTTCCGCAGGTTATACTCCCCCAAACCTACAGCTTATCTACCCAATCAGCTATCGCAAAGCTGTTCCTGGAAGAAATAGGAGTGCGCGGTATCAACATAACGCACCAAGCGATATGTGCCCTGTACGCCTACAACACGACATCTGGAATCATTGTGGACATCGGTAACAGATTGGATATTCTACCGATAGCCGATGGCTATGTCGTGGACTCTGGCGTTTCGAGACTCCTTAACGGAGATCAAAAAATTGTCCAGAATTTGGCTCACGAACTCGCGCAGAAAAGGGTGAGTTTATTTTTCTCGGACTTGCCGCGGGTCTCAAAAGCCACGGATAGCCGTGTGAGTCGCCTTTCTCTCTAACGTCTCCCTCAACCCCGTGATTCGTGCTCCAGGTTTCGCTTTTCAACCAATTGGACGTCTACATGCTACGCCATATATTCCAAAAACTGTGTTATGTAGCTCCGGACTATACGGCCGAGCTCCACAAGTTCAACGCCGACCCGAAGAGCTTCTCAAAAAGCCTCCGGCTTTCCGGTGTTGGTCTGCAGTCCGGTCCAGATGCCGTCATCGAACTTGATCAGGCCCGTTTCTCGGTCCCCGAGGGCTTATTCCAGCCGCAGTTATGGGGCCTTGATTGCACCGGTCTCAGCAAGCTCATAGCGAAGGCGGTCATGCAGACATCCATCGATATGCGCAAGCAGATGGCACGCAGCATATATCTGAGCGGTACGTATCCTTGCCAAACCGCGTGAGATAATCGTGTTTCGCACCGCATTTCACGCAAACTCCGGCGCGCCCCATTCCGCTCTATCTCGCCCGTAGGCTCTCGCCACCAATGATTTCCGAATACAGTGGGTACTCGAGCGATATAGGAGAGAGGTCAAATAACTCGATTCATGGAATTTCCGCAGGAGGTCTTACCCTCGTTCCCGGACTGCGAGAGAGAATCATCAAGGACGTGTCGAAGAACGTCCATCCCGCGTTGAAAATTCAAGTGCACGCATCGCCGTATCGTGATCACATGTCCTACATCGGGGCTTGTACCATGGCGACAACGGGGGCTTTTGATCGACAATGCGTGAAATTGTCTCAATGGAGTCAGAAACCGGAAGATTGTTTCAAGTTCTGGCACGTTGGCTGAAACCCAAGATCGCATATGGAGGAATAGGCTCTCAACGAACTTAAACGCTGGCATACTCTAAGGAAGTGGAACCTGAGAAGCCGATGTAATCTACTAGCAGCTTAAAACTCACATTCCATCCGGCGAAGGCTATTCTGGAATTTTATGTAAACTTGTTCATAGAAAATCGAGCGTTTCCCGAACGGATTTCAGTGATGAATATTTAAAAACGGGTTTAAATCCCTGAATATACACGTCGTGTTGTTGCGAACTCTCCATCATTTCGCGGCATCGTGGACGAAGTGAACGTCGTACAATAAATATCGAGTTCGATACCGAAATTGTTTCCTGTGGGAGAATTCCCACATACAGTTTCCTGGCCCAGCCTTGTCTATTATCCGAGCGAACACATCTATCAGTGTTAGGCGTCTGAGTAATTGAACGACTCATCAAGCCCCCGACCGTTTCCGTCACACCCATAGAAGCGGTTGCGCTCTGTTCTGGCATCCATGAGGATAAATGCGAGGATCGCTTAGTGATGGGGCTTCAGCGCGTACCATCGCGGTGAATATTGGACGTTTGAGGCGAGCGGAAGGCTCCGCTGGTAGTCCAGATGAATTGAAACGAACAGCGAATGTGACACCGAGTCTACGGCCGACTCGGATCCCACAGATGTTTCCCCACCCCGAGTCCGGGTCCGGTATTATCGAAGGCCCGCCGATAATAATCCGCATGAAAAGCAGATGGTCGGTGGTTCCAGGGGAGACCGGTGAGCTCTACGGCTCCGCGGAATGTTCCCTCTTTCCTGAAAGTTTTGTGACAAGTTTCGGAGGCCGGCTGGTACTCGACCGCTCTCAACAAGTTTTCCCGTCCACTTCAAAAGGATTCCACCGTGAGCGAAGCGGTGGAGGCTCGTATGCTAGGAGAAGAGCTCGAGTGCAAAAAGTTCGCGGGCTTTCCGATGTGGTCTCGAGTGGAGAAAATTTCTGAACTCGTTTGTTCCCCGTCTACGGGAAGAATTCCCTCCGCCCGGTCTCTGGTACTCCGACCGACTCCATTGACGGAGCTTGCCATCTCGTCCTACGGGGAGATTCTGGATCGTGTCGGGAGCTCTCGAACGAACAGGAATCTTGCGCTTCCCTGTGAGCTTCTCGAAACGAGGGCTTCCGAAGTCGTAGTGTTTCAATCATTAGTTTGCGGTACAAAATCGGGGAACTGCAACCGAAAATGTTTGCGCGACGCAGAGCACACAGAGCACGCCTCCTCCGTCTGTTTCGTGAGGTTCGGGAGCCGTCAAACTGAGAATACTACTCACGCGGCAGTTTTACATCGAAATAATTGCAGAGGTACGACGTCTAGACCCGAGAACGAAAGTTCGGTCTCGTGGCCAGCAGGAGACCTACTTTTGACGAAGAGATAGACATAGCGAAAACCGATGTTCACTCACAACGCGGGTACGGAGGTATTTCGACAGGAGATGGAACCTGATGAACCCGGGGAAGGCCCGTCGGTTCGTGCTTTGGATTCAATGCCAAGACGGATCCCAAAAGAGAGGGTCGTCTTCTTACGCGAGCGGATAAATTCATGATTCGAGGGGCTGCGTCGGGGCTGAGAGTAATTCTCGGAGCCTCAAGAGTCATTCGGGTTTCGGGAGAATCTCAACAGAAACTCCCTCCTGTGCGCACAAAAGTGACTTAGACGGTCTGCTTGCTAAGGGGCATATATCCACGTTCCACGGTGGAATCGTTGCTGCGTATCATTGCTCGCTTCATTAAACCGGAGGATATCCTCAGTGGATGAAATGGGAGTGTAATGACCTGTAACCAAAATAGATGGGGGATGTTTCCCGCGCGTTAATGAATCGTTATTGAATTTGTGTGTCTACGACAAGCCTTCTCTCTGATTCTTGCGCAATCGCGTACAACGAGTGAAATCGTTCAACCATCTGTTTACGATCTCCACGCGACTTTTATACGCGACATATCGACAGCGAGCAAGTCGAGCACGAGGGCAGGCAGGTCCTCGAGAAGAGAAACCCTGAGATATGTCATTTCGTGAGGGTGTTATTTCGTCCCAGAAAACTTTCGGACTGGTTGATTCGAGTCACGAAAATTTGCATACCATTTCCACAGAAATTCACTGGGCCGAGGCCGGGGGGGAACTACCGGAATTTCACCGGAGCGGGTACCGGAATCAAAACTTGATTGACAATTTTCTTCGGGAAGTTCTGCCTTGCCCATCTCGAAGAAGAGAACCCTCCACAAGGGCTTCGCGACTTCGAACATAAATCACAGACATAAAAAATATCTCCCTCCACATAACTCATGCTGGAGCCGATATTGCCCCTTGCTCTCTCGTAGACCTCTTCACTGAATATGAGCATCGATCCAGGACAGCCTCAGATAGAGCGAACGCGGAGCGAGTGTCGTAGCCAGGCACTTTCAGAACAGACTTGTTTATTGAGCATTTTATGAAAACTTGAAACTCTCTTCAAACAAATGGCTCGTGCAATTGGTTTGAGCTCAACGATACTTGGGGCAACATCATGGACTGGTTCCCGAGATTTCGTCTCTGCCCGAGCCGCTGAGGCCGGTGCGGCGTCATCGTCGTCGTACTTGCTGCTGTTGTTTCCTGATACCGCTTGAGTGAGTACGTGTCCTCCTCCAAAAGCGTCGATGATATTGTGTCTTCGTAATGCGACGACAAAACGTCGTTACTCGCGTGACGAGCTGGAAGATTCATCGTTCCCCGATGCTTCGAGCTCGGTAGGATTGCATCTGGGAAAGATTGTTGATTCGCTTTATTCTTCCATGCCCCGACGGAGAGGTCCCAACAATGTACAGACCAAGAAAGGAATCGTTGCCGACCGGGGAACATTCCCAGTCTGGAGAAAAAGACAAATGAGACGCATCACTTTGTGCTATATTTTTGTAGAGGCAGAGCGAGAGAGGTCGATACAAACCCGTCCCAAGGAAGTGATGCTGGTCGGAGTCTTCGTTGACGAATATATTGGGAGTTGCGCTCAGGTCAACCTTCGCTTTGAAATCATCTGGCGGGAAGTCCAACTTCGAGCTGTCCTGAATCCAGTGCTCGTCGTTGATCATTTTCTGAGATCGCTTCGATATCGACTTCTCTCCGTTAGGGCTTTGCTCTCCGAATATCATCACTTGTGTATCATTAATCGTCCGGGTCTTCTTGCTCATCAAACTCAGATCGACGGCTCCTGCGAAAGCGAACTCCGCAATCAGCGGTGGCAGGCGGTCCGGTAGGGCATGCTATCAGAGCGACATCGAACGGACTGCATTCCGGTACCAATCATTGACAAACACATTGCACTAGTATGATATTTTCCGCTGGACGCAAGGTCGATAAGATTTCTCCGCGCTTCCCGATCCGTATTTATGTCTTTCACCGCGTCAGAGGAGAAGCCAGCGCTGGTCAAGATGAATTAGACGAGGCGCACAATGGGGGTGCTGGACCGAAGCGTCGTCCTCGTCGAACAGGGAAGGCTCATCACTAAACATTACTTCGACATCGCCGCTTTTGTTCAGCCTTTTGAGATTGGTGGACCGAACCTAACGGATTGGGCTGAATCACTTGACGGGATCGAGGGACTCGACTCTTTCAGGTTCCTTTCACTCCTCGCGACAGCGCCATTTGAGTGCTCTGGTGCAAACTTTCTACAAGCCTCTCGGGAGGCGGTTTTCGGTCGGGGCTTTCTGAGCCGCATGAGAGATATGTATATTCGGCCTCAAATTCATTCACGAGACGGGGTTCTATCCTGTAATTCTTTCCTCGGCCCTTCTCGCACCTCGTCCGTTCGCAAAAGCTGCCCGATCGATCATCGAGAATGTTAGCCGCGCTCCGATACGTAGGGTCGCTCGACGGGCCGGACAAGCAGCTGAACATAAAGTTACAAACAGCAAAGAGGTCGTGAGACCAGAAAAGGAATTACCCGTTGATCCGAGGGACAACCTCGTAATGCGTTTCTTCCTTCGCATGATTACAACCAATAGGCCCAAATTGACACAGAGGAGTACACTCGCTAGAGCAATACCGAACGCTGCGGGATTGCTCGACGATCGCAACACCGCGGAGCTGAAAATGTTCCGGCCAGATCCACTCAGAGATGCGGTGAGGTCCAGCTTCGGCACATCTGAAACGAATATACTTCTTCAGTGCTTCCCGCCTGATGCAGCAGTTCCTGGCAGTCCGACGCCGACGTATGGGCGCAAGCCGCGAAAAGCCTTCCGATCGTATCGCCTGAATCGATGCGGAAGTGAATGACGTAATGGAGCCGTAATGCCAGCCACATACGTACGACGTCCGAGCTCTCGCGATTCTCTGTCGCAGCAATCAGTGTACGGTGGCTAGAGCCTTGTGACAGGCTTTTGCTGTACACCAGCAAACGATATTTATTAGGAGTCATTCGGGAAAGCCTTTCAATCATGGCCGAAGGCTCGGGTTTGAGGCGCTCACTTTCGGTGTGCACCATTTCTGGCAGACGTTCTTTGTTTTATTGGTAATGTATGTATTGGACTCGCTAAGCGGAAGCGACCCTTGTGATCAGATGGAGACCACGAGGGTCGAAACTATCGGAATAATAATAATCTCCATCGATACGTATTGTTTCTATCCGGCGACGTAAACCGGAGCAGGTGACCGGCTAACCCTTTCATTTGCTCCAGGCGAACGGTAATACTCCTTGGTTGCCAGATAGAGGGAGCGCGACGGAGAGAGAGAGAGGTCGACACAGGGAAGAAAGCTTTTCTTTGATGGAATATCGAGTGCTTGTTGTACCGAAGCTAAGATTCCGATCCTTCTAGATAAGCTCATCGGATGGGGCATCGGATCCAGAGGAACGGTAGCGAGAGGATATCAGGGGGAATTTCGGAGGAGAGGTTTTCTGTCGAAAGAGCGAATCGGAGGTGTGATATTTCGGATGCGGCTCCTCATCCATGAAGGGCTCACTCGGACTCGGGCCTCGATCGACCCACACGTCGACGTCGCTGGATTCTCCTCTTCTCCCTCGACTGACCAAGTGATGTAGCTAAGTGATGCGAAAAAGATCGCACTGAGTGAGTGCTGTCGCGACAGGGGGCGCGTGGAGGCGAAAATCGCTCGTAGGATACTTGATCTGCTTGCCAGTCACACTATACAAAGATTTCCGCGGATGAGGCTGTGTCCCGCTATTCTTCAGAAGGAATGTATATTTCTTCGTTCTGTCTTTATTCCATAATCGACCGAGGTTACGGTCGTTCGTGAGATCGACGAGGATTCCCGCTACGATTGTTCCGTGGTGCAGTTGAAGGAGTGCCGCGAGGCCTTTTTCCGGCAGCAACTCACCTTGAGTGATCACTGTGAGGGTATCTGTCGATTGACTCCAACCGAGCTTGTTTACACTCTTAAGTGCTATCAGGTACGCGGTATTCGGCATGAGGCCTTCTACTTCGAACGAGGTTCGTGTGGTTGACAGGTTCATCATAACGTTCTCGGCTACTCCGTTTTGCTCCGATCCGGCTCCGGCGAAGTTCCCGTTGAACGACTCCCGCTTCTCCTGCTCGGAACGGAAAGCGAATCCCCGGTGAGGTTGACAATCCATTCATAATCCCTTTGAGACTCCGAATGACGGTCCGACCGACTGACCGACAGGCTGACCGACCCGAGCTCATTCACTCCTTGCCGAGTTAGCCCCGAGAGCTCAATAGAATCACACTCACCATCTGCTGAGGGTCGACTGCCTGATAAGATATATAATAAGTTTGAGAATATCCCCCGTCGAAACCAGAACGCCATCGGAGCTTGAGAGTCTGGTGAGAAACGTTGAATGCTTCGAGTCCATTCGGAGGATCTGGAACAGCTGTAATGGATTTAGCAATGAGTGCATGTTATCTCCCGCGGTCCTGTCGAACAACGTCGGTCGCGGCCATGGGAACAACGCTGTATCTCTTACATTTCTGCACCAGAGTGAAGTTAATCTTGCTCGTCCCGAGCGTATTGTTGGCAACACAAGAGTATATCCCGTAATCAGAATAGCTGACCCGCTTTACGACCAGTATTCCTTCGGAAAATAAATCCTCTCGACTTTTCCTCGTGAACTCCAAATTTGGCTGGGCGCGTACGACGACGCGACCGTTGAAGAACCATTGGAAATCAACCGCTGGAACGCCGTCGGCTTTGCATGAAATTTCTATTCCGTCACCCACGGCGGCCGCGATTCGGTGTCTTGGTGCGTCGGGCGCGGGAAGAATCGAAGGTGCATCTGCGGAAACGAGAAAAGACAATCGGAAAGGAAATTCGCGCACTGGACATCCGTATTCCTCACTCGGAGCGCTCATCAGAGAAGTTGTTGGTCTTCGATGCTCACAATGTACAACGAGTTGAGCAGTCCGTCTGCTCGCACGGCCGATCCCATTGCTGGCGGAGCACTCAAAAGTTCCGCTGAAGTTCCGGAAAACTTTTGGGATATTGAGCTCGACAGCTGAACCTCTGTTCATCCATTTCTGAGCATTGAGCTCGACCGGCGGCCCCGCTAATCGGCGCCACGAGAGCAGGTCAGGCGGCGAAGGGTTCGCCTTCGCCGAGCAGTACAGTCTTGCAGTGCCGCCCTCGTTCACATCGACCCGCTCAGTGATGTTGTCGATAATGGGAGGATCTGCGGGGAAATTCGAGTCAGAATACCTTGCAGTCGTTCCTGTTCCCTTCCATATACCAATATTCTACCTCCTCTCGAAAGCTCCGCTGTCAGACCCTCCTCTAGGGCGATTGTGCTCCTCGGTCGGAGCCGTCGAGGAGTTGGCTGACTGAGTGAAGCCTCCTCAAAGATTTCGTCTCCAGTCTGTTTGAGGGAAGAAAATCCTTTTCTCGGAATGACTGCGAGCTGCAGGTGGTGCACATCCTCACGAAAGCGTAGAGTAACTCCTCCCTCTTTAGCTCTTGCGATTTCAAGGCCTTCCAGCTCGAGTCAGCTCATGAAAACGGGTTCTAGACGCAATCAATTGGCGATTCTCCTTCCCACTATACAGTTTCTCGTTCGCATAAATTTCCCGCAACGGTCTCCGTGCCTTTGCCGCGAGGAGGAGGGATTCCTGGGAGGCTGTCGAATGGACCGTGTCGATTTTCCGTCGAAGTACGTGGGCGTGTTCTCCCCCTGCTTCTATCGATGTCCCCCCATCTGGGGACCCTTCCGGGAATTCATCGATCCTCTCGCTATGGTTCTGAATAACAAAGTCCCTCATTTTCCCCGGTCAATGGGAAGAATCATTCGGCCATCCCACAGGTTTCGTAGCGCATGGTGGCGGTGGTGTGTCGCGGGTAGCTCGGAACGGAAAGATGCGTCGAAAATATTTGGCGCAGCCAAACGAGTATTCCATGATGATGGAGATCCACTGGTCCCGCACCTCGAGTGTCCACAATACGCCTCTCTTACGCCCCATACCAGAATCGACGCTCAATCAGAGGATCAAGGGGGCTAGAGCGAGCGTCGCCGCCTCTAGGATGAGGGGCTCTCTCTCTTTTTTTCTCTCTTCCTTCGAGGAGAACCTCGAGGCGAGAATATCTACTCGGCTGACGGTCTACATACCTACTCGACATCAGACGTAGCGTTTCCGATGGTAAAAACGGGAGAAATGCGGAAGCGGGTACTTTCATGGAGCGCTCGTCTTCCGGGAACGAATCCAAAGAGTTGTTTTCCGTGCGGTCCCCATATTCCCAGGGCGTAAGTCACCGTTTCACTTTTTCCCGCTGACATTTCTCCCTGACAAGCGAATTCGGGTTCCATGGGAGCGGGAGGGAAATGACAGATAAGCGTAGTTTTTTTTCGACACCGTCTCAAGTGCCACTCTACGCTCACTTAACTCAAAAGTTGCTTGTTGTTGGTTTTGATTGATGCATCACTCGCGCATGTCAGATTTTTTGTACGATCTGCGCGATACGGATTCCTGGTTGGCGACTCACATAATGGAGCTCATATCCACTTGGCACGAGCGACGCACAAAGGCTGCACCAGTAGTAGCTGCTGTTAATGCGGCGAGCAGCCCCCGGATTCAGTCGCCACAATGTCTCAGAGCGCAAACTGCTTGTCTCCACTGTAGATTTTTCTGTCTTTTGTGCTCTCTGTTCTGGACACAATGGGACACGACCGTATCGCGCTCGTACCCATGGAGCATTGCGAGGCATCTCGAGGACGTTGGGAGAACTGCTTTTGTATAACAAGCTGGATCGCTACTCTCAAATTAACCCCTACTGCGTCGCAGCGGCTCCGTGAATTCGAGCTCTTCCGCCCAATGGTTTCACCGGGATACGGGCCAGTCGCCAGCGGCTCGCGAAACGAGTGCGGAAAGCATTGGTGGCAACGATAAGTCTCATGGAGGGGAACAAGAGATACATCGGTCTGGAAGCGAGTCTGACGGAGTGGAAGCAGCAGGCCGTCAAAAATTAATCTCCCCGCGGAGACTCGGGCATGGCACACCGGAATATGCCGTGGAGCAGTTCAGAATGGCTCTCCCCGCAGACTCCTCGTGTTGAAGAGCAAGTCCCCCTCACGCAGTGGTCTGTGCCCGGCCCAGAACCCACGCAAACTTCTGCCTACTACGAGTGAAGGGAAGGCGAGTGGGTACTCGCGAGCGACAAAGTCCCGTGCTGAATAGTTGCCCGAACTCAAAAGTGTGAATCCATTGTGTCGGCTCTGATTGCAGATGATACGCGAAGAGAACCTGAAAACCTTTCTTCCCTCGCTCGGCATGATGAAAAGCTCCCGCTGAGAGGACTCGCTACCGTTCGAGCACCTTCGACGGAGCTCGTTCCCGGAGAGGGAGGCTAAATTCGCTTTCGACGGGATCCATCGGAGGAGCAGCTCAAAGATTCAGTGAGCCAATAGAGCGCGAGGTTTTGACATCAGTCATTTCTGGAATCGACGAAATAGCTCCCCGGAGTCCATAGTGGCGGAGGATCCTCGCGATCATGAAAGTTCGGAACCTTTTGGAGTGAAGCGTTCTTTGAGTGAGAGCCGCCAGAGCATGACGTTCCGGGCGTGTCGACGCGAGTCAAGCGCCCACAATGACTCCACAAGGCCGTTCGCGTCATCAAGCGCTCGTACCTCCCCCTCTGTTCTCTATCGGTGAAACCACCACCAGGACCCTCCAAAGTCTCCACAAGTGCTCTTCATGTGTGTCTGACCGCGTCGATCTGTCCAACGATGGCCTGTTCGTAAGAGTCAGACACAAAGCTCAGAAGCGGCGCGCGCCGGTCATCCAGCCAGCAGTTGTGAGCGGCTCGAAGCTGCCAACAGCAGGCGGCCGGAGACGACAAATACACTGAGCTCTTCCAGATCACTCGGGCGTACTCCTTGACATGTGAGGATCGCACGATTTTCACTGCGTGTATCGATAGAGCTCTAGAAACACTACTCGAGAGTGACCCATTGCCGGCGGGCGAACCCCAGCTCAATTATTGTTATCAGCTGGAATTATTTTCAACTCCGTTGCGCCTCCCCAAACGAAATCGAGCACCGTGTGTCTAGTGTCTGCTTGGGATAGCAGAGTGGAGACGCCCTGGAAAGAATTCACCTATGTTCGAATATGAGACGTTTCCCACGGGATTTGGCTAGACGTCCTTAGCCCTTGTGCGTCCCAAAGTCGCGCTAAAAATTCGCGTCTTCCCACTCGTCTGCCGTTTCATGCATGCGAGCTAGCGCGTCAGCATGCGTGCCTGAGCGCGAATATCCGGTCGACGGACGGCAAGGATGCCGCCACCGGGGAATCCATCAGACGGTAGACACATACGGCTAAAAGAGCGAAGGGAAACTCTATCTCGATTGATCGAGTTCGTCCAGCCGCATCATTCGTCTTGCGCTCCTTCCCGCGTCGGATCGGGAATTGTAGGCGCGCGCGAGATTTTTCCACATCGAGTCGTTTGCAGTCGGAGCCGTGAAGAACGACTCGAGAGCAACATTAGACCTCTCATCGCTAATTCGTAAGATCCCGTCCTCGAGAATTTTGTTATCTTGTTCTCGGATGCTCTTTTTCCGCGGGGCGCCCTCCGTGGCCGAGCATCGGTTGTCATGAAAATCTTCACGGCAGTCAATAGCGCTGTGCTCCATTGACTCCGCGATTCATATTGAAATGAACGGACGAAGTGATTCGTCATTGAGAAAAACGCGCGATGACGAATGGTCCTGTGGTGACTCAATACGTCGACGGCTACGCACGCGAGTCGATATAAAGGAAATAGGACGAGCACTCACAAAAAACGTCGATGTCCACTGACGCCTCTGACCTCCCTAAGCTATTCTCGGCCTGAACGAAGTAAGTTCCGGCCTGGGCTCGTGTGACATTCAGTAGTTGCAGCAGCGCTCCCCGAAAAGCGACGGAATGCTGAGCTCCTATGTTGTGAGCTGGAGAAAAATATGACTCATTGAGGAAGTTATTCCTCAGGGGACAGACGTATAGCTCAGGGTCATCAACAGAATAATAAGTACATACTTCATAGCACACTTACGGTCGGTGCCATCGAGCATCCCTCCGCGTTTAGTCCACGAGTATCCGTCGACGTTCACCGGGGGATTCGCGTCGGCGGATATGTTATATACTTGAGATTCGCCAGCCGTCAGATTAAAACTCCACGAGCTCTGGGGGAACACGGGCGGATCTGCGAAAGGCATCGACCATGCTCGTATTTCTATGATTATCGACCCACTCGACCGCTCTAATGACACACGGTCCATACATGCCCAACGAGCCGATGGGTGACAAGTAGGTACGTCTAATTAGAGACGAATTCCGCTATGTTCCTTTTGGACTACAGCTCCAGCCGATTACGTTCCCTTGAACACTGCCGCGGAGCACGAATCCGCTAACTAACACTTGTTCGTCGATAGAGCTAGAAAAAATCTCACAGGCGATCTGCAGATTCTCCTGGGCCGTCGTTGTTGTATTCAATAGGGGATTGAACGCTGTGCATGCGACAGGGACTCCGTTCTCCGAAGCACTGACAGAAACGAACGTGACCCTCGAGAGCGAAGAGACTCCGTTGTGATCCTGCAACGAAATTCGGCGTTTGACCGCCTGCTCGCTCCGTCCTGTCCCGCTCCTCGGGCGGGACTCGCTTTGCAGATGAGTGCATGCGCCAGCCGACCCTCTGATTCATCTCGAGCTTACTTGAAGAATCGCTCACTTTCTCCGGGTCTGGGCAAATTATGGTTCGGGAAAGACTCTCACCGACGGCTGATTCATCTGGGCATGATCCGCCTCCACTTCATAGGCTCCTCTGAACCATCGGACAACTGCAGTCGGCAAGCTCGATGAAACCTCGCAAGTCAAGGAGATGTTCCCTCCTATCTTCGCGAGGGGCGGGTTGACAGAGATCCGAATATGTGCTGGTGGGACTGGGAAAGACATGAAGAGCTTAACTCACAGCTTCGCCTCGCGTCTCGGAGCCCCTGATTTGCGAAATTCATCGATGGAGGAGAGCGAAAAATCCTCATCATCATCATCCGCCGAAGGCTGCTCGAGCTTGGATCCACGTTTCCGACGATTCCAGGTACCTAACCAGTCTCCTCCGAGAGGAGGGTGCAGGATGGAGTCGCGGCACTCTATCTCCCTCGGGGAAGGAGCATTGTCACAGCCAAACAAGATTCGGTCCTGGTGAGCTACGAGCTTTCCCAGAGGAATATTCCGGATACCAAGGAGTTCCTCAATTTTTTTCGTGTTAGGGACGAGGTCCGCGCCATGTGTTCCACGGACTGCTTTCACGCGCCCCCTTTGAGAATCCTCGGGGAATGGTAAAGATTTATTTTATACTCACATGCCACCTTCAATTGGACCTCCGAATGCATGGGAGTCAGCGTTGCTGAATTCGATGCCGAACAACGCAGAACAGCGCCGTTATCTTCGCGTTGGACGCCGAATGTGATCGAGTTTTGGACTCCGTCGCTCAAAATTGTTTGGTGGTCTTTCGTAATCATGGGCTCCCCGTTCTTGAACCACCTGTTCCACAAGGAAGAAAGCTGTCATTAGTGGTTGAACTCCGTTTCCCGCAACCGATGCGGCCGATTGAACGGATGACCAGAGGGTTCGAGTGAAACTTCGGCAACACTTTCGAGCTCGCGTCGTGGAGCCCAAACTCGGGATGCTAGTCAGTGAACGGAACTTCGCTGCTTCTGGTCTCTACAAGGTGGATGCCTCGCGGGACAGCTCATTTCACCATCCGGGGAAAGTTGCTCGGATGCATGCCGGAATCAGGTACGTAATCCAATTCACGCAACAACGATCTTCGTTCCCTATCCGGAGTCACAAGCGTACCTCCACGGTCGACAGATTCAGTGTGTGGCACGCGATTAAGTTCACAATGCGACCACATCGTTATCTAAAATCCCGATTGATTCTTGGACTATCATAATGATCAGTCGGTTCGCGGGTTGTCAGCGTATATTATTCCCGTCGTCTACCAGTGAGACAGAGTAAACACGAGCGAGATACCTGACGAGCTCGAATAAGATCGACAAATCGCCTAATAACGTTATCAGCGCCGCGATTCTTGAGGATCTCCGCAGACAGATCCGATGCCACCCGCGATGAACAATCAACATTGAACATTACTACCATCATTTGTGATGATAAATACATTGCCTTACAGTACCCGGTTGTGTGAGAAGTTTTCAGCTCACCTCAGGTCTGCGTACGGGTTCCCTCCCTTGGACGTGCACGTCATCGTGACAGAAGCTCCGCTTCTAACGATCTCTCCATCATTTTGGAACGTTATAACGGGAGGTTCGGGCGGAACTTGAAACCAATGAGGAACGACGATTACGATTTACGGTATTCCTTGCCAGGCATGCTTAAACGGTGCCGCCAGAAGATTCGGATGGACACTCACAAGTTATGTTCAGCCTATGTCTTCCGTAGGTGCTGCCCCTCAAAAAATTGCTTCTAGTGTGGCAATCTACGATCCGGATCGGTCTCCTCTGGAAAATGAACCTGTTCCTTATCAAGACTCCCCGATGATAAAAGTCGTAACATAGCATCTAGTCTGGTCGTACCAAAACTAATTAGCTTTTTTATCGTCGTTGCCTTGTTTGGAACTTCAACAGTGAGAATGGACGCAGAGAGAAAACCAACACCATGAACGTTCCGATAGGGGAGCGGTCGTTTTTTAGGCGGGCTTTAAGTCTCAACAGCCGGAACTCGTCAAGGTTATTGATGGAGCAAATCGACTCGAGAGATGTCCCGACTACCTAATAGATGCCAATTACTTGGGACTCGGAGTCTATGCAGGTAATGAACAGCATCCTTCAGCTTGTTGGTCGGCTCGATCCCTCGATTTGGCGGGCGAGGGAATCTCACCGAAGATGCTATCAGCCGACTTCTCTCCGACAGAATCGGAGTTGACAGCGGAAACCAATCGTTTCGCGTGAGCTGTTCTCGCTCGAGAGAGTCGGAAAACTCGGTGCGAGGACGCGACTCATCAAAGCGAGCGAAAGGTCCGCCAGGCTGCCGACAATGTTGACACGACTAGTCTGGGAATAGCCTACTTACGTTCTCAGACGTGGATTTCAGAGTGAGGTTCGACGACGAAATGAAACCTTTCTCTATTTCCGTCACCAGCGTAGTTTTTGAGTCGGCCTCGACCGGGATGCCGTCGATGGTCCATTCCAAATTAACAGCAGGGTTCGCTGGAGCTGCAGCGCAATGCAAAACCACAGATTTCCCCCGTTGCACTTCACTGGGACCCGTGATTGAGACTTTTTTTGGAGCGACTGAAAAAGCCACGACGACCCATGAGTCATCACTGAACGATTGGACTGAGGCGATTTCCTTCCCGCTCTGAATTTTACTCGGAACTCCTCTCCGATGGGGTCCTGTTAGCTGAGCCCTCGCTCCGTGAACCGAATGCTCTGCGCTGGACGCTTCTGCTCTCCACCGCCCATCCCGGCTAAGCCTGTTTCACCACGACAGGCCGGGATAGACAACGGGATGATGGCCAGCGTTGATCCCGCGCAACTCCCCGACCATAATGACTAAGGTCAGCGACGCCAACAACCGAGCCCCGACCCCATTTTCAACTCACAGTGTACAGCAAGGCGGACGGTGGCTTCAATACTCCGATTAGTCGCAACGATCTCTGTGTCGGGTTTGCACAATATTTCGGCCCCGTGGTCGGTGGCTCGGACCTCCAGTTCCAGGACGCTCTCGGAAATTCGGTTCCCTGGGAACACAGAACTCGACATTTGAGTCGTCGATGTTCCACTACTCCGTTGAAAAAAGCTCCCGTCCCGAAGCGGGAGAGATTCCGAGCATTAGGGGTGCGAGCCAGTGATGAAAAATTGAAATGGCTCGTTTGTTCTTTTTCCGGGAGCGGACGTCGCGGCGGCGTTGGTGGAGATGAAATTTGAGAGGAGAGGGAACGACCCGTCGCACGCACGAACGCGTTCGTACGCTTGGATATACGAATGGAACGATATCGGAACGAATGCAAATGAGATTTATTACCTCGAGTCCGTTGCGTCATAATCTCTCCAGGCAGAAAAATACCGTCCTTCATCCAGAGGAGGTTCGGAGGGGGGTTGCCGCCACGGGATCGGCATATCAACTTGAGCATTTCTCCTTCTCTGACTGGTGATCCCGACGTATAGCCCTCAATTCTAGTCGAGTTGGGAGCCGCTGGAATCACACGATTCGGAACACGAGTCAGATAAGCAGTCTTCATCGAGCTAGGTCAACTCGCGAGCCAGGCTGGCGGATCTACTCACTCAAGACCCGGATCAAGGCCGTGACTTTCATCTGTTTGTTGCGGAGCGCTGGATGCAGAGCCTCACAAGTGAACTGATCGTTGACCACGCTGTTGCTTGGCCAGAGTGTTATTGAAGAGATCGTCGTGAGTCTTCTCTCGCTCTCCTCGACGGTAATGGTCCTCGCGGCCTCTGGAATTCAAAATCGGGTTCCATTAGTGTGGTAGGCGGTAAATATTGCTCAAAACATTTTTGACGCTTCTTGAGACGAGGATCGATCGCAAGCTGGGGAATTCGGCTCCCCGAGCTTCACCGGTAGGTGAACGACGACGCGTCGGCTGAGTCTCGCGTACGATGAGCGGGACATGCCTCGGCTCCTCAACCGGCGTATTCGAGCGGATATATTCCGTAGCTCAGATGCTCGCCCCCCTTACCCATTCGCGGAGCAGCTCAAATGGAGAGGACTAAGTTCGGCGGCTTTTCACACAAAATTTCGAGAACCGATTGCGAAACTCGTCCGAGACTTCATTCGTTCGTCGAAATGAGGAGCTTTGAGCTTCTCGAATGCCGACGAACCTTGACGCGCTCCGACCACATTCGGCGCATGGAGCACGACGCAACTTTTTGTAGAGAAGCCCTAGAAAACAGGGCCGACTACCGGCAATCGTCTGAATGAGACTCGGAGGAGGCATTGCAGGCTTTCTCTGGAGTAGCGGTAAGGAAGGGACGGGGAACCGGATGAGGGGAGGTCAGACACCGATGCTGCACATGGTTGGCCCAAAACAGACGAACGGACTTCTATTCAAAGTTCCCCTTAGCCAGAGGCGCGGTTCCTCGGCGCGTCGCACTATGCCCGCGTAGGGGAATCCCACCTGCAAAAATGATGCGGAGCAAACTACTCTCAAGGCGTGCTTGTCATTTTTGTCAGGATCTGCTCAGTCTCTGCTCCTTTATGATAAGCTGCTCGGCCGTCTTGTGCTCTCCGTCCGAGCACACTCTTTCTGCCGCAGCATTATCTCCAGCACAATAACCGACTCTCCCCCTTCGTTCGATGATGCTAGCCGAGAGTGAGCTCACCTAAAAATCTCAGAGCGGTTCCTCCGAAGGAAGCTATCGCTCTAGAGGAGGGCCGGGCACGTAGCAGAAGACGAACGGTCCCAGAAAGCGTACCCGTGGCAATAAAATGAGGCCGTCGACTCTCCGCTGAGTTCGAATTTCACTAATTGGCGCTTGGGATTCTTGACATCTCGATTTCCTCCACGTGATTAATTATAGGGTCATCTCTTTCCGTCTGCCACTCATTTTCAGCTGATTTCTGAACGGGCCTATCGAAGCCTCAGGCATGCTGAAGTCAGCGCTCCGACCCCTCTTTATCCGCCTGTCACTCAGTAGATCATTTTCGCGGCCCTTAACTTTCTTCGCCGTGGCTTTCGGAGGTCGATATTCTGATTTTACCTGGGACGAGCTCGACAGACTTCCTAAACCAACGGATTGTGCTCTCGGGACGGGACATCCTGGCAGTGCAGGTGAGGATGACCTCGCTATCGGCTGGCACCTGGAACAGTAGTGGAGAGTGGTTAATAAAGATAAATAGCGCCTCTGTTTATTCTACACGATGATGATGATGATGATAGCAGACATTCTGGCCCCTCTGGTATTACACCTGCTCTGCGCCATCCCGATCGGGGTCGCACAGCTGAAAACCAATGAAACAGATCGCGCTAACTCGACATACGAAAATCCATTCGTGATATAATAAGCCGCACGGGTCGTTCCGACCGCATGAAAGCCCGAGCTGATCCATGATGCGTACGTGAGCGCAGACTCCCACCAGAGCGTTGTATGACCAACATCGAGGCTGAGATTTGCAGAACCCCCGTGGAGGCGGAAGCCTTTTCGAAAGGAACAGTTTGTTCCCAGTGGGATCCTTGGGTTCTGTAGCTTGATCGTGCGAGAAACTATCATGTATCCTCCATGGAATAAGAATTCATTCGTGGAACTCGGCAGCAGGACAGCCATACTCTGAGCCGACGATGCTATTCCGCAACGCTCTCAATTTCCCGAGATAATTATGAACTTAATCTGCGAGGTCTGAGGCCTCGTTCAGAAAGAATCACCAAGACGACGCGGCGTGCATAGCGTTAACATCATTGAAGACTCTGATTCAGTGACGAGGAGCCAGCCATCGTTCTTGTCTCGGGGGAGAGCTCATCAAACGGAACGGAACGGTAATCAGCTGTTGACTCGGTCCTGTTCCGTTTTTGTCGGAGGGAAAAGTATTCAAGATCGACGGTAGGAGCGCGAATCTGAGTAAGGTCTCAACTCGGAATGCTTACCTGGAATCCCATTTCGGTTGCTCGGCTCCCGTTTATGTCCAATCGAACCGGAGGAACTGGAAAAACACCTAGGTAATTGCATAATTCGAGCCGGAATTTCCGTAATCTCTTATAAATCAAATTCCGGGTCGAGGCGATGCCAGATTATTCGACGGATCCATTCCGAACTGCGTGGGAACATCCGAGCGATTGTATTCCTTGCACCTACGGAGTCGCTCACTGTATATAGTCGAATCGATTCGATCGACCTCTGGAGACGCCACCGATTCTAGTGGTGGGGATCCTCGTCAGCCAGGATGTCAGATTACGCTTGCCCACGTCCGAATCAGACCGGTCAGAGTCGTTGTCTCCTCTCGGGAGAAAAGACTCGACCGAGAACCGAGAATCGTTTCCGGGGATCTTGACCAGTTCGTTATCCGTGTGACCGCTCCGGAATCTGAGCTGTCAAACAAGGTTTCTGCAGCGGTTCGTATTTGTCCGCAGCCTGACCGAAACAAAGGTGTCGGATATCACGCCACTGTCTGAGAGCCTTGCGAGGATGTCATTGGGATGCGATCCGGCAACGAGAGAAACGATCTGTACCACCCCGAACCGGGAACGTCCGAATGCTCCGGTGAATTCCCTAAGGCCCTCAGGGGATATCCAGATGCGACTTCACCGGGGATCGCGCGAAATCAGGGTCTATTAATGTGGTTCGACTGCCGCGACTTTCTGCTACGCGAACGTAGTGCGTTCCAGGCATCAATATTCTGCTGCGTCGATTTTCGCGAGTTCCCCTGACTCATTCCCGGGTCGTCGTCATGAAGTTCTCACTGTTTCTGCATAATCGAGGAAAAATGATCCGCAATTTGATATTGGAAAATCGAGAAGTTTGGCAGCTATTCTCAAAAGGCCTCCGATCGCTTGGGACGCTCAAGCCTGCATAGCGGTCGTCGTGTGGGCGAGACCGCTGTTATCGAGGACAAAGGCGTTCAGAAGTTCGAGCGCATGGTACGGATCCATCGTCGCAGAGTGCCTCAACTCTCAGCAAAGCCTCATTCGACTTGTATTTAAGGAGAAATTAATGGAATCGGAAGAAACGAATTCCGGCCGATGGTACTCGAAGAGTTGACTCTCGCCGAGGATTCCGAACGTGGATTGCTAACGTGTCGCGAGTTCTTCGGCTTCAGCCTTTCGAAGGAAAAAAAAACTGGCCCCTCAAAAAGCCGATTAGAGCCCGGGCATTGCCTCCATTAGAGAGTAATCAAGAACAGTGGGCGGGCTCGAGGGAAAAACACGGTCGCGTATAAAGTGGCAACTTCATGTCGCAACACACAAGCTCCTAGACGGTGAACAAGCTCTATAGGCTGAGATTTGAATCGTGTCCCTTTCGGCGCTCGAGCACTCCGTCCGCGACGATAGGAGCGTTCTCGTCGCGAATGTTGTTTGGAATGCGCGTCGCGAACGATCCATCACAAAGGCGGCGCGGGACCTGTCAGCCCTGCAAAGAGATGTCGCTGCCAGAGGAAATGTTACGAGGTTGCTCTCACTTTGACGCAGTGCGCGGAACAATTTCCCAGAGCTCATTTATAAGAGGTGCCGCTCACCGCCTGTCTCCCGTCCGTAAAACAGCCTGTTGTTCAGACGCGTTTAGAGTTAACAACAATTCAATTTGAACCTCGCAGCGTGACGATTGCGTGGATTCGCCCTTCCCTTCAAGGATTTCCCTGAGCGTTCTCTCGTGTCTCTGACATCGGATCCCTCAGTCGAATCTGAACTGGAGTCTCGGAGATCCTCTAGGGAGCGATTCGAGTGCCATTCAGACAGAGCTGATATTATCCGTTTCTTGGAAGCGACTGCCCCCTGAGACAGGAATCCGATGCCGCCGCCGCTGCTGCTGCTCTCATCGGTCGCGGTCTCACGACGATGATTCCTTCAATTTTCCGGTTTCTCGGATTTATTAACCATCACCGGGCAACGGAATATATATATTTCGGAAGCGATCCTCCTCGGAGCGCGAGAACGACCTGATGAATATTCCGCCGAGTCCTCGTTCCTTTGAAGTGATACTCGGACACTCGATAGAATTCCAATGGCTCCGCCTTGACCCACGGCTTCCCCGAACCAAAGGCTCCACAGGAGTGGCAAATGATATAAATTACTCGATCTAAATGGGTATTGATGTCCGATAGCGCTGCTGCCGCTGCCCGGGCTCTGGATCGAATAAGGGAGGTCGGAGTTCGACGTCGGACAAATGAGATAGTTGAAGGAATCCCGAAATGCCTCGTTGACTCAACAGTGGGTCCGAATTGAGCTACGGATTATTCCCCCGCCTTTCTTCGGCGTCGAGAGTCGAGACGATTCAGCTCGAGACGTCTCTCAGAGGATGTCGATCCGGAGGTCCGTAGCCGTCAAGGAGTGCCGGATCGAACGACGACGGCTCCCCTCTCTGTCAGAGAAAGTCAATATTTGGTTGCTCTCGAAAGAAACCGAAGAAGAAGTATTCAGACGACGACGACAAAAGCCGTATCGCCATCATCATGGAAAATCAATTCTTCCCGAAAGTGTCGAAACAATACAGTCGGCGTTTGCATTCGCAATTTTTCTCCCCATCCCAACGGATCGAGCTCTCGTGCCGGGCTGCCCTTTTGGAACCTCGCTTAATCATCCCCGAATGGAACGGATACAATTGCCTTCGAATTCAGACCTCAGTTGGATTCGTGGTTTCAGCGGGCGCCTTTTTGATGGGCGAAGGCTCAGCTTCGCTCCCGAAATTGCGAACCGCGAATCTTGCGGCGTTCGGGCTCGTTGTCCCACGCACCGTTTTCGAAATTCGGTCACATCTCCTGTATTTCTGCATCATACCGCCAAAGTCGCGGATCACAATGCATGGCCCGCACAGCGGTCCAGAAATTTTGAATCTACTCGATCATTCTGTGAACGAAATCCAAATCTGCAAAGATGGGATACTCACAGATAACTAGGAGACTGGCTTCAGCTCGAATCGGCTGAACTCCATTAGCAGGTCCCACTTGACATTGGTACATTCCTTCATCTTCCATCTGGACGCCGTGGATCACTAGGTTGTAAACCCCGGTCAAATCGTCTATCACCATCATGTGTCTCGGATATCCAGGAATTTCGGTTTGGTATCCTGCGTCGCACAAAATTGTTATGACAAGGAATACACTCCATCAAGTATATTTGCACCGAGAACGCACGCGCGGCCGAGGCGACGAGTAGGCGGCGCCGGCGTTTCGTCGCTGCATGTAAGTCAGAATCCATGCGAGATGTCAGGCATCGGATGACAGCGAAAACAGCAAGTCTTACCCAATAGAAAGCCATCTTTGCTCCATTGCACCCTCCCTTTTCTTTTTCCTACTTGACATTCCAATAACACGCGCTCTCCTTGGACAGATTTCATATCTCGAGGGCGAACAATGAAGTATTGTTGAGTCGATGTTTGCGATGCGCTAAGCAGGGGCAGGGACTCGACAGCTGAAAATGACAGACGTAGGAGGATCCGACAACCTGAAGAACTCTTCACTCAATCATTCCTAGTAGATACGTTTATGAGCGCCCACACAGAGGAAAAAAGCCTAACTGTATATCTCTCGTTCGCAACTCGAGGGCCCCAGAGAGTTCGAACACCTTTACGTCAGCGAAAGGAAACCTCAGATGGCGGGTGATTGATCGCCGGAGCTCGGCATCTCTCCCGTGAGCGACAACCTCCGGCAGCCCGGGAGCCTCAAGCACGCCGGTGTCGGCCACTCGGGCTCGGAGTTCTCGAAAAGGATTGCCGACGATTCAGGAAACGATCAGAGAAAGAATCCTCACCTGATAGAAGATCGCCTGGAGGCTCTTCTGTATTTGGCGTCAGCTGCACCCGATTAGCGCGTGCGAACAACCCATTCCCGAAAGGTAAACCGGTTTCAACCGTACTAAGACCTGCAACAGAAAGTTAGTTTCAGTTGGTCCTTCCGCGCTGCGACAAGTCCCGAATTGATTTCGATAGCGACGCTCTCCCATCGGACTTTCAGAGCAGGACGCGCGAATAGCCCGTTCAAGCATCAGCATAGATCTATCGAACCGCCATCCCTGGGTCGAGCTTCCATCCCTCTGTAGCATCCCACCCTCTATTCCTTCCTCCCCCGATCTTCTTGAACTTCAAGAGATCAGCTGCGTCCGATGACACCGTTCGGAACATTGAAACAAGTTCGCCCGGGAGAATCCGATCACAAAGACGGATGTCTGACCCCGGCCGTGCGCCAAGGATCCCCTTCATCCTGATAAGGCGCGGACAGAGCGCAGCCGTAGCTGTCTCAACACAAGTCGGGCCCGAGCGCGACGACGCCGAATCCACACAAGTCCGCTGATGTCAAGGGTGAGAGCATCCGCCGAGTGCTCGGAAAGGCGTGGAAAAGCGGGTAAATAGAAAGCAGGAACCGTTGGAATGATGGAATGAAGACAGCAAAGTATTGCGCTCTCTTCAAGCAATGCAGCGGGGGCGGGGTCTCGTCGAGCTCATTCGGATTTGGTCGAGAAAAATTTCTCTCTGACCATTCACAATCGGCAGCTTCAGACGTGCGACATCATTTCACAGTTCGCGTGTGGCCTTGAAAATCGTAATCTGTGGTTCCCAGAGAGAGCTTCAGACTGGTTAAAGCTCGGTGTGAAGTGGGGAGCGGGTGACGGGAGAATCTCGTCGGTCTACGTTGTAGACCTAATATTTCGCAATTCCGGACTGGCCGAAGCTCGCTCGAGCGGCTGACCCAGAGACTGGCGGAGCGGGCTTACCGCGAGAGACTCATTTGAATATCAAAACCCCTAAATTGAGTGGGAACAAGGCAAAGCAATCGGAGACGACGGGGTGAGGACCAGGAAGACAGGAAGCGTCAAGCTCAGGAAGCCTCAGCGAAAAAACAGAAGCGACAGCGGTTGGCGGCGGAGCGCGCAGACGATCGTGGACCCGAGCGAAAATAAGGTTTTCCACGTTCTCTCTGCTCGTTCATGACGTGAAACCGAACATGTCTCTCAATGGGTCGGAGTGAAACGTCAAAGCAAGCGGAGTTCGAGTCGGAGCCTGAGTAAGCGAAATTTGCGAACAGAGAAGTTCCAGTGGAGCCAGGCTGACCTTCCAATACGAAGATGGGGAGCTGAAGGACTGCAGAAGCCGACGTACATATGATTTCGCAAGCTACTGAGGCCGGTATGTGGAAAAGAGTGAATTCTAATGGTCGGTTAGGTGCTTCTGGGATCGGCACGATGACGGTTTGTGGCTCCATCAGGTCTATCTATACCTCAGTGCCATCACCGAGAAATTCTCGGGACGACGGGGCATGGCCTCGTTTCTCGCCTTTTCTGATTCGGTTCATGGAATCTATATGGCCTTGAGCACGAACCCGAGCGTGAATTTTTGACATCTAAGCTTTAGCAAAACTGGGGAGGCGCCGATCAAGAGCAGCGAATCAGAAGACAACGACCGGTAGAACTTGGGGTAAGTTTAGCACGGGAACGGGGATGAGACTAGTACGACTAGCCTGAATATTGAGGATCGTCAGGATCGGCGTCACGGTGGAGGACGGAGCGATCTCAATGAAAATGGCCCTAACATCGAGAACATACACTCAGCCGAGGCATGAACGTTATGGATCAAACAGGACGAGACTCAGCACGACATCTTGGGAACCGGAGCAGGGAACGGAAACATCTGGGTCCCGGAAGAGTTTAATTGACGTCGACAGAGGACTGTTGTGCAATGTTGCAGTCGAGCTCACGAGAACGCGATGGTCACCGGATTGAGTTTCGGGAAGAGTTCCCAGCAGCTGGCGATATGGCATCGACTGGAATGTGACTCAAGTCGCCTTCCTTCAACGACCAAGAGGGCGAGTAGACGCAGATCGCGAAGCGGCGCAGGTCCTATCCACAGAGATGGGAGTCCTAGACACCGAATTCGTCTTCGGTTTTCGGCAGGGAGAATCCATACGCGGGAGACAATATTCGAGACCGGACAGCACTGACGGAGCAATCGACTGGAACTAAGCTGGAACGCAAGCCGCGCGACTTAGCCTCGACATGCGGTGGAAATTCTTATTAGAAAAACTTCAGTACCGGATGGGGTACCGCCTCCGGCTACCTGGATACTCTCCCGAAACTGTCCGGTCTGGCTGGCAAAGTATTTGATGGATGGCCAGGGGGATATTTCCCGCTTACAAGCGAGGGAGCAACACTAATTCTGCTCTCTGAGCCAAGTGAGAAGAAGAAGGGAATTCTTTCCCAGCTTTCTCATCTACGGTCTCGTCCAATCTTTCCGAGCCATAATCAACCTCAGACTTATCGGATAACCAGCTTGAGCATCCGCCGCTGAACTCTCGAATATCGGACGAGGAACCGCTGGAGTCGCTGCATTATCTCAGCAACTGATCGGAGAAGTGAAATGACCGCAACCCCGCTAAGCACATGAGGAGCACGCGCTGCCCCACGTCAAAAACGCAGTCGGTTGCGAAAAAATAGCGAGATTAGGGACGCGCAGTGAAACATATCAAATTTGGATCTCCAAAACCGCGAGGCGACAGTGGGTTTAGTGTTTGAGCTCTGGGGGATCGCCAAAACCCTTGATAGTCCCGCCCGGCAAGAGGCCTCGTCGTATATGACGGAATATTCCTAATTGAAATCGCAAGATGAAGCATTCCGTGTCGACGTATGATTCTGTGCGTCGGGTGCCTTTTCAAGCTTTTGCTCGAAAGTTCTCGCCGGCATTCCCTCTGTGTAAAATTTCACCCTAACCATTGAGACGAGAACCACAGGCCGCCAAACCCGGGACGATGACGGCTGTCGCTCAGTCGGACGGCATAACCGCGGCGACATTATCTCGCGAATTTTCCCAAATTGTCGTTTCGAGCGCCCTAAGTGATTCTTCTGCGCCGACGACAATTACGACGAAGATGCTCGACGAAAGTCTTATGGTCTATCATACAGGGACTCCCAAGCCGCATCGAGTGGGAATATGAGAATCGCTCCAGAGCTCCACGGAGGAAATCGTTGTCATTCCCGCTGTCTGGACACACTTTCGTTGGTCGACTGAATCGCTCGATATCTGGCGGTCTCTCTTCGTCTGGTGCTCAGGGTGATGCGTCAACCCTTCATCCGGTACAAAGTTACGAAGTCGCCTCTCAGTCAGAGGAAAAGAACTCAGAGCCGGCCGTGGAGAAATCTCTACAATTAGCACCCCGGTATACCATTTCGAGAGGGACATTTGTGGAGGACGCTTTCGTGGCCGGACAATCGAAACCACAGATACGATTCGAGGTGTGCGGAGTTCTCGGGGTTTCATTTCAAAAGAAGATCAATGACGTGTGACGGGGAGCTCCCCGCTGATCGTCCCGTCTCGAAGAAAATCCGATGATCTCGGCAGCGACAGCTACGTGCTTTTCAGAGGAACGTAATCGTCGGTCTGGATTAGCTTTTCTCGTTCTGTCACTCTTGTCCCGTAATGGGTGACATTGTCTACATGTACTCATCGAGCATCTCCAGCTGTGGCAGACGCCGCCGTGTACAGCCTGAGCCTATTGACGATAAAAAAAACGGCCAATGCTCTCAATATAATTCACAGGCTCAACCGTCCGAAGCTTCGCGACGGAAATCGTTTAAGAGACCGCTCCCGAATCAAGTGTTTCGGTAAAATCCTCGTCCACTGCGGAAGTACGCTGCGGAAGTACGTCTCGAGTCCTCGATGGGTTCCGTCGAGTTCTGCGAAGACTCAGGACACCGATCAAGCATCAAATCAGAGTCTGCGATGTGTAGCGGCGACGGTTCCGCAGACTTGGCAGCATTTTAGGAATGTGTTGAAAGAAGAGGGGCTTCTCTCGGTGAGGTATGCGCACCTCCGCCACGTGCTTTCAACCATTAATCATGCAGTTTCTTTCTCAGACACTTGCTCGGTACCGAATGACTCTGAGATTAGTGCCGCCAGAAGTAAGAAAATCTTTCCTGGAAGTCTGGGTTGCGTTTTTCTCTCTGATCCTCCGGTAGTCTCCATTTATCACGGGGTGTTTAATGTTCGGGGACCGCCGAATCCCGCAAACAGAACGAAACAGAGTGGCCTATGTGACACGCACTCCGAAGTAGGAGAGGACCTGGTCAAACGGGGTTTCGACCAATGTGAACATTGTCCGGATTGAAGGCGGCAGCGGCCCCAATCGGGGAGCGTGCCTCGAAAATGGAAATCGTTCCTCTTTGTGCAGGCCGAACATTCGGGCTCCTTTCGTTCATACTAATGTGTGAGAACCATTAACGCAGAGGGAAGGTCCCCGAGGATAGAAGACAACGAGAAGTCATCATAGGAATTGTATGACTCCTTCGTATGGTGCACAACGTCATCCGCCGGACTAACACGCTCGTTCTTGCTGATCCGCACGGGGTCTCCGACGACTGGATAGCCGCTCAATGAGTCCGTTCGGAATGCTCGGCAACAATCAAACATCGGATTCGGGGATCACGTCTCACGGCGAACAATTCGCTTCGGATAGCATGTTTGCGCAGAGAACAGGTAATCAAGTCCCTTGCGCAAGGGTCGTATTCTAAGATCGAGCACGGGGATCCTATCCGTCTTCGTAGTGTGCCCGTCTCCAAACTCTGAGGCTTCGTGCGGTTGAAACTGCGCGAAACCATTCAATCACGGGGGACCGCTCCCGAAGTCGGCCCGGTATAATGCGAGCGCATTACCGAAATTAGACTTAGGTATCAGCCCACGTATGAGGACCCTTCAAACTCTCCTGCAATATCACGACTCGATTCCCAGGGTGTCCGAGCCCTGACCGCGGTGTCTTGACAGAGGTGTCTCGACAGAAACCAGTCGGGCGAAACGATTGTAATCAGGGACAGAGCGCAGGGTTATCCAATGGTACAAACTTGACGAGAGAGCCCTTTACTCGGTGGGTCGAAACTTTTTCCCGAAGAATTCCGATGAAGTCTCTCGAATTCCCAACCGAGAAAACCTCCTGCCGGCACGGAACCTGGTTTCTGAGGAAATTCGTCGACTTGGATAAATGGATCGTTCCAACGGCTGATCGACGCCTCGAAGCTCCGCCGACTCCTGATAGCGAACTTCCTTGGCGGTTTGTTCCGCGAACTCTTCGAGAAGCTCCGAAGTCGACGTAACTCACCCAAAATAATCACATTTAGCGTTATTTGGAGGAGACGGCACATTTTTCCTCTTGGGTTCACATTTTAGTATTGAACAATCACAATGTCTCGGTTGTGATAAGGAATTCCTTCGTCTGATAGAAGCATTTGATGATTAGGTCAAATGCGTGTTGCATGCCTCTCGCATGGTGCACGGTCACGTTGGCTATTCAGCTGCAAAAAAAGCGCTGACGTTTGCTGTTGACGGACGACGGTTGACAAACGACAACGACACGAATCATGAGCTTGGATGAACTCGATCAGGCGACAACGGAATCCGGTAGCTGCTCTCACATAAAACGTCAGCCGGTCGCTGTATGTAGTATACTGGAGTGTAGGAGAAAAACTGAGGGAAAGAGACAAAGCGGGCCGGAGTCGCCGGAGGGCGCTGCAGTCCTCTTGGGAAGAGGACCTCATGCTGCTCGCTCGGGCCTATCTTCCATTGAGTGTTGCAAGGGTTTTCGTGTCGCTTCGCTTCTTCCCTGGTGTGCAAGGTCCTCGACAGAGCTCCCGAGGTAGACAGACTGCTCGCTCACTCACTTGGTCGGTATTATTTTCCGGAACGCAGTACGAGCGAACGAATCGTCGCGGGGGAGAAAGCGAACGAGTGTTGGTTTCATTCGCGTCCCTTGGAATCCCAGGAGATCCGCCGACACAAGTCAGAAACTGCGTAAAAAGGGCCGAGCTACTGCGGACGAGTAAACCCATTTGAATTACCATATTGACACGAGCCTGGTGAGGCTCCGGGCGGCTTCCGGGGAACGCAATTCTCTTCTCATGCCTTCGATTTCCATAATATTTGTCGTCACCGATGATTGCTTGTTAATAGCCGGCAGAGGAACTCGGCTTCTGCCTTGCGTGTAGTTATCTACGAGTCGATTGTCTCGGCTCCTGTCGAAAACCACCATAGCTGATCGTTCTTGTTTTTCGTAACCGTCCGCACACTGTGTAGTTTGACGGAGGAGAGGAAATCTTCGTCCTCTTGTTCTGCCGAGAGTCAATAACCCTGCGACGGGGATCCTGAAAGCGACCCACTATTTTGTTTGTAGGTTCGTAACCCGGCGCAGCATCACGTCGTATTCCGACGAGTCGAGCGAGAGCGGAGTGGAACGCCCCCTGTCAGACCCTTGTCAACAAGAGCATGTCGGATTCTGTCGGTTCGATTTTCTCTTGCTCGATAGGCATTTTTGAACATTCAACGCGAGTTACGTCCCGTTCCGACTATCAACGTCATTCCGACGAGGCAAACTCCTATTCACTTTGAAGGAGTCGATCGAGTCTCTGGAAAAAAAGCAAATTCGACTTTCCTCATTTCTCTCGTTCCTCTTCTGCCGGGATTGGTGCTGCTGCTTCGTCCGTCCGTCCCACGGTGCTCCTACCGCGAGGTTTCAGACCGTTCCCCTCACAACGGGAAACATTTCTCTTTTCCTCTCCGACGATTGCCAACCTCTTCTTCCGTCCATCCCTTTTCTCGGTTATCACCGCGATTTTCTTGCGACTTCTCTTGATTTTCCTGCGAGCCTCGAGGGAGGCCATAAAGAGGGAGATGATCTCCGCAGGCCAAAAGTAATTTTAATGCAAACTTCTGGATTCTCTTCTCCCTTGAAGGGCGATCGCCGCGCCGGAAGATTCTCAGCTCCCTCTCGGTGGTTCCTCGATACGAGTCTCCGGGAGGAATACCGGCTTGATGGATATCGCTCGCAGCCCCACTGGCGAAAGCACTGATATTTACAGAGAGGAACCCCTTACAGGAACCTATACAGATCTGTCCGCGGACAGCTTTCCGAGCTCCAAGCGAGACTGCGAAACCTCTCAGGATCGAGATCCGGAGGCGTCAAAGGAACCGTGAAGAGGTCTTGAAACGCGCCCTATCTTTTGAGATATAGCTCTATAAAGACGGTCCAGGACGCCTCGCGTCTCCCGAGATAACGTTATCTGATGACGATGACGGTGTCGCCCCGAATCGGGACTCCTGCATCGTCGCAATCCGTATGTTGCAGCTGCTGATCCAAGCATCCCATGAACCCCAACGCGCCTCGAAGTATCATTAAAGCTCGTAAGACGCTCGGATGAGCGGAAACAAAAAACAATCTCGAGCTTCGGGCACCGGGGCTTACTTACGCACACACTACATCCGAGAGGACTCCCGCCGCAAAGTACTTGGATAACGTTAGCCCGTTTTGCGAGTCTCTAGATTATGTTCACCCGGCCCACGACCATGAGCATGGGAGGGAAATGTGTCGTCGACAGCAGCCCCATGATAGCTGACGGCAAGCTGGGCGTCAACACTTCTTCCTCGAATCGTGGAGCTTCGACTGGACTCTTCTCGGAGTTTTCCCGACCTTTTTTTTCTCCCCACTCCTCTCTAACCTACGGGTGAGGGCATCGAGCCTCTGGACCTCGTCATGAGAAGAAAACAGAGCAGAATATCATCATATTTACGGCGAGTCTTGCCGAGGGTGAGGATTCGGCGTTCTGAAGGGGCTTCCATGGGAAGGTATAGAAGGTATCCAGTCAGTAGTGTGTTCGAGAGACCATCGTCCGGCACCTCGAATGAAGAGACCAGCGAGAGACCGGAGAAGCGGGATCGCTCGAACCGTCGCAAGTTTCCCTTTCGTTGGCAAATCCGGTCAGAGCGTGAGAACTCTGGTCTGACGAATGACTCAAAGTGGCGTGATCCGAGTGTCTTCCGGGATCGGAGATGAAATCGCTGAGTTCGCTGCACGGAACGTTTTTAGTTCACTCCCGCGTTTCGCAGCAAAGGTGGCAAGCCGAGCTTCTCAGTGGAGCGTTCCAGGCTCCCCGAAATCGCTTAGGTAGGAACGGGAGTTGGGTGCGGCCCTCCGCGGATGAAGCTCTCCGTTTTCCTCAGATCTGCGGAGCAGCACTTGACAACATTGGGGCGTAATCATCCCCATTGAGTTATTTGTTTCAGCGTCGACATCTCCTTCTCATCGTCTGAGCCAAGCGTGGGAACCTACGATAGCGTCGACGATCCTTCAAAAGACGACTGCTTTTCTCAGCTTCAATGTTACCGGATCGGGGTACATGGCGGCGGAGAGCATCCTTAGTTTTGTGCATGACCCCATTTCTCACCTATGACAAAAGTAAACGCGGGCCAACAGCGGAGGTGCTCGGCGACTGGGCACCATTCCAGCAGCCACCTAGATTCCCGAATGATCATAAATGGCGAACAAACGACAGTGCTCATTTCGGGGGAGGTGAGACGCCTTATCACCGAGGAGGCATCCCAGAAGCGACGCCTCGTCGGGAAAATTCAGGGCCCGAGAAACAGGGCCGAATGGAGAGCAGCTCGAGAAGAAATCAAATGGGGATTACTCCGCTGCTTTTCGGTGGCTTTATCTCTCGCATCGCTGAAGTATTCGACGAGATTCTGGAAGTTCCATGTTCTCCAGAACTCAGCCCGTATGGGATGTTTTTCAACCCCCCGATCGGCTTCCATCGGTGTGGGCTCATCGGAGGATACATATGATACGCTCCAAAACTGGCGGTAGTGCCCCGGATTCGGGCTGTGGCCGTTATACATGGGGCTCGAATGCGGTCAAAAGGCATCGGCATGAGTAGCGCCGAGGTAAATTGTCCAGAAATAGAAGAGAAATAGAAGAGTGATTTTGATCGGAGGTGGGGCGAATCAATGTTCCAATGTTCCGAAACATAACTCTAATTTGACGAGATTTTTCTTGAACTAAATCTCAATTTCGGAATCTAAACAGATTAGAAAGATAAACCGCAGAAGGTTCCTAAATTGGGGTTCTGGAGGAGCGTGCTCGTTCTCGGAGGGAAAAGCGAATGCGGAGCAAGATAACCCGGTCCGTTCATGCATCCGGCAGGAGGGAAGAGCTGCTAGTTTTAGTCCGCTCATATCGGATCGCCGCATCGAGCCGGAGGTTATAGCTCAAGCTGTTCCGAGTCTCAGAGAAATATTTTTTCAAAGCTGAGAGCGTATGGACGAATCGGATAGGGAATGAAGGAAGGAAATCTTCGCATGGGCCTCAGTTCGTCCCCGAGAGTTGTTGGAAGGCCGCTTAAGGCTTGTTGGGAGGCCGCTCGAGGCTTGTTGGGGGGCCGCTCGACCCCCGCAGCGTCATTTGCTGGATGAATAATAAATAGATAAAGATTTCCAAATGTAAGAACCTCCAATCAGAAGGACCAGAGTCACGCAATCGGACCGAAACACAGCGGCAATCGAGTTCGGCGGTCCTTTCACTTCGACGACTCTCTCCGATAACGTTGTTGGCTTCCCCGTAATTCGAGTCTGCATCCACTCGATTTGGGAGCTCGAGCGTGACCAGGAGTGCACGTATCTGGTCAAGTTTTCCTCCGGCGAGGAGCGAAGGCCACGACCTGATTCGACAATCGTGAACTCCTTTATCTGCCGACCAATTCCACGCGTCTCTCGAGGGTAGACTCGAGAGACAGAGAACATTCTCCCGACCAGATGCTGGGGACAGCGTTTCGAGATTGCAAACAAATATTTTACTGTTCCGCTTTCAATCTTGTATTTCTCCGAAACGAGAAGGAGGAGCACGCGAGGCGTTCGGCTTCCGTCTCGGCTGCGTTTCCTTATTCACGACCGCATCAAAGCTGCAAAGGTCGTCGGAAACGCAAAATGTGGCTCGCTTGCCCACAGCGAGTGTTCCTTCAAGAAGTCTGTTCTCAAGGATCGGTAGCGTCAGGGTTGGGGGAGCGTCGTGTTTTGCGAAGGCGATGATCACGCAGAATCGAAGACTTGTTCGGTTCCCTCCTCGAGGCGAATGTCGATTTCTCGTTCGACACGAATCAAATTCCCTATAGGCTTTTTATGATCACCATCCGTACGGTCGGACGAAAATATCGCTATGATCGCTGCGACGTGCTAAGGGCTTATACGACAGAGCAAACATTTCCATTGTCACACCGATCTCGCGCAGCAACGCCTATTCACGTGTTCGATAGCCCGTCGAACGTGATCAGCGTACAAGCAGGTATTCACCACGATGTGGCCAACGACGAGAATACATCGACCATCCTGAAAGACGGATTCGTCGAAATGGTCAGGGTCGGAAACACAAGGAGACCGGCCATTCAAACCGGAGAGAAGGTCGCAAGTCGGAATAATTCATGCCTAATGAAACTGTTGTAGTTACGTTGCTCGCTCTCGAGAGGGGCCCCGTACGGACCCCGACGACCAGCCTTCGTCTCTTTAGTGAGCCTGGGCAAAACTACGTTCGCGAGACATGTGTGCTTTTTCTGACTCGACTTGTCGCTGCCTCCCGAAATGGACTTCGCACAAACTCGCGTTGCAACACCTAGCGGCGTTAGGCTCGAATGAACGGTTGAGACCATTTCAATCGCAAGCTGACGGGCGTACGCCATCCATGGAGCAGTCGGAGCACAAAAAGACTCCCACAGCAGGCACGGAGTTCCTCGAGAGTGCATCTCTGAGCGATAAGAAAACGACTCCGTCGCGAGCCACCTTTTCAGAATATTCGGACGTAGAAAGTGCGCATGTTTGCGACTCGACTCGACGGGAGTCTCGGTCTTGGATGGAGTCTCTCCGTGCCGATGTCGGAAGAAGAAGGGTCAGCATTTAGGCTTCGATGGAGACGGCTCCCCTCCTGTATGCGTCATGCGAAAGCAGCTGAATCGTGCAAGAACTGGAAAAAAGTCGAATCGAAAAGCATTAGCAGTGGGTTTGAATTTTGCAACGGGGGAACAATAGAGGTCTATCATGATATCATGTTTTATGACGGAAACTACGATCACAGCGCCGAAAACGCATGCTTGCTGAAGGCAAGTTGCCTGCGTAGCTGAGCGTTTCTCCGCCGTGAGTTCTGCGATCGAGTGATATGATGGAGCGCCCGATAACCTGGTTGTGAGCAGCTCAAAATCCCCCCAAACTCCATGAGATGTCGAAATCGAAGGATGAGACCTCTCAGCTTGAGCAAGATGGTGGATTCTCACTCGATTCAGCATTGTATTCATGCGCGAGCAAAATGAAGGTTGTCACGGTGAGACTATCCTCGAGGCCATGCAGGAGATGACAGACTCTGGCCCGCAAGAGACTCATGGGATACATACTATAATAAACTCGCTGACAAATATGGAGCCTGATTCCTGTTCCGAGTCTGGCCAGGGATCAGATGAATCAGAAGCGATTGGTGGACCTATAGATTATGATCGTCACTCGGCGCTTTTCGAACGGAATCGTCGCGATGATGGTCCATGAAGGGCACTGAAAGCGAATACTCTACCTCCCACCTCACCCTTGCACAATCTGCAGACAAGTCTGTCTCGATAACTAGCATCAGCAGAATAAACCGGTCCGAGGCCGCTACGCGGAGAAACCGCGGGGCATCCTGAAGGTCATTGTCGGGAGTAGTCGCACGGTGGCTGATCAAGCCTAGAACAGATGGGAACGCGGATCGAAAAGCGCTTTCCTAGCTCTATTAAAGCGAGTCCGGCTCCCGGCTCTTCTTCCGTGGCAATGAACATGCAGGGCGGCAAGCTTCCATTCTGACTTCATTCTTATTCATTCAGGTTCTCATCTCAGCTCTCGTTCCGCTCTCGCACCCAGGTGCCGTCCCCGGAACAAGCACGCGCCAAGCGATTACCCCCCTTCCGGGAGACGGCTGCAGGCTCGCAGTGTTTTTGCGTTGACAATCCCTCGGATTTTGGCGCAATCGATGACTGGGATCTTCAGGAAGCTTCATGGACTTTGTCCGGTCCACGTTTCCTCCGCTCGGGGAGAACGTGAAAAAGACAAAGTACGTCTTTACGGGATATGCTTTGCCTCGACGATTTGTTGAAGCAAGGCGAAAAGTTCTGGAATCCCAAGGAATGATTTGGAAGGAGGTAGAACTTTCCCCTGCTTCGGTTCTTGTGAGAACGACGCTCCGTTAGGAAAATCCCTCACTCGAGCTTTGCAAAAGGTTTCGTGAGCGGAGTCTCGCTACGCCTCTGTTCGATGCTCGTCAAAACATTTCCAATATAGGTTTTTGGATTTGTCACCTTAAGCTCCGTCGGAGTTTTTCTCAATACTCTGAGGTGGACAGACGCAAGGCCACGTTCGCTCAGGGGGAAGCATTCGAAACGAATTCCTCGGGAACTCGAAGAACGTGCCGGGAACTGCGGTACATTATCATTACGATGGAGCTCGCCGGCACAATGATGCGTCCGTCGCGAGCGGAAGCCGTGGAACTCGGGCAATCATGAGGAATTCGTCAGTACGGACTCGCGAGTTCTCTCCGATTGAAGGTTGAGTTGAGACGAGCGAAAACTCGGATCCCCTTCTGTCTTCTTCAGTACCACCGTTCAATCTCGAGCTTAGCTCTTGAGTTTGTACATACGGAGCCGTGTAATTCGAAACTGTCTGTTTGAAGGCGGAATCTCGGCAGGAACGATCGATGGCGCTCGTCTCGAAGGACAATTTGCAGTTCCAGGATACGTGACGGCTCTGGCTGACTTGACGAAAATCTTGCGGAATTTCCCCATATTCCCGGAACTGCGCTCCTCGATGGGAATCGGAAGTTTTTGAAGCTTCATGTTCCACACATTCTGCCCCGGATATTCCTTCTCCGCTTCGGAAAACTTCACGGTGAATGTATGATCTCTAAACCTACCCTGTGGTTTCCGTAATTGCGGATGAGAATTTGACTCGCTTTCGATACACGAGAGTCGTCTTCCAGAACTCGCGAGCTACTCGAGCTTCGCGTTTTCTTGCGTGGCACGCAGAGCGTATGATCCGGTCGGAGGACTTAGCTCAGAGTGAACTCCGTTTGATGGATCCACATCGGGACCAAGCCGTCTCGGTCCCAATAAGCGGTTGGTCCAACGAAGCGGCGTGATCTTGGTTGGGGAATCTCATTCGGGGATCCGGATTCCGGTCCGATCAGGCGGAGGGTCCGATCATCCGGTGGTACCAATGAGCGGATATAACTGTATTGAATGTTCCCTCCATGAATGGCTTCAATGTATTCAACGAAGGAGGAGATTGCGGAGACAGCGCTTTCTCTTCAGCTCGTCTCGGTTTGGGCATCCTCACGATGAAATCAATCCGGCCGGTCTCTGCGTTGAACTGATGAACAGGAGTCTTTGCCCCTGTGCGCCTTCCCGCCGAGCAGAGTTCTCTTCTAGCACGACATCTACAGGTACCCCAACGAACCTCAGTGTTCGCCCCGAGCCCTGTGGAATGAAGAGCCCTCCTCTCCTTGAACAGAAGCAGGTACCTCAGCAGCGACAAGACGACTCTTCCCGAATGGTGGAGTTTATTCAACAAACGGCCAGGATACGTCCCGATACCATTGGAGTCTCGGCGCGGCCCGAGAACTTCGTTCGCCATCGTCATGTCCCTCGAAATGCAGAGCCGTCGGTAATTTTCTTGCCGAAGTGGTCTGTATTGATGACACCAATGAGTTCGTCCGTGGATTTGCGTAAAATGCCTGAATCTCTTGGAGTCTATCCAGCCTCGTGTTTGGAGTGAATACGTCTCAACTGCCCTAGCACAATCATTTGAGCAACGCCGCGCTGCCGATTCCCCTTCCCATGCCGGGACCCCATGTAAAAGAAATCCCCATGTAGCGTGAGTTGGCCGCTCGCGCATCTCGGGCTTCTCGTGGTCGGATTTCTAGTCGTGCAACGGGGAAGACAGTCGGAGGGACTGCGAATTCAGGAAAGCCTCCGAAGAAGAGAGTCAGGACCGGAAGTGCAGTTCTCACCGACCCACCACCCCGAGCTTCGAGCGATCCGAGTTCGAGACCGAAGAAAATGTCGCCGGGCGATCGAGAAAGTTCGCACATGCAAAGACCGCGTACCGTGGATGCCTCCGCGGGTTTTTCTTCGGGTAGCAACGTGCGAGAAATCGCGATTTCTTGCTGATAGTTTTTCGCTGTGCTCTTCCTTCGCACAACTCTGACTCGATGAGAGCAACGAGCGGACGCGTATCGTACCTCCATGATGCTTCGACAAGTGACGACTCGCTTCTCTTTTTCAAGTCATAGTCTCATCTTGTGTCTGTGTTTTTTGCCCCACTGTTCGTTCAGTATGGGTTTCGTCTGAGAGCGACATCCTCACCGCCCAGACTTCCAGACCATCCGACGAGGAAAGTAAAAGCCGCTGTTTTTATAACATTCTGATGGAAGGGCGTGCCCGTTCAATGCTCGATCGCCTCATCTCCTGTCGGACCCTCGGGTTACCGGGAAGGAGAAACGAGTGTTCCACTCCCAACTAAAGAGTTTTTCGCGTTGGACTCTCATGCACGGATGATGGCCGAGCTCGAAGAGAAACTCGCTCCGCTCCGCGAAAACCCCGAGGTTTTCCATGACCGCGAACGTCCTTTCATTGGATCCTGCCCGTCTATTGTTGGAAATTCCTCGGGGTGCCCGTTTATTGAGTCATACCCTTTTCTTGGCATAATCACAGAGACAAAGCAGGCTCCCGATGCTTGCCCGGCAACGAATCAGCAACTTGCATGAGGTGGGTCTGATGCAGTGCAGACTTCCATAGCTCCAGTCTCACTGCGTACGGGCATCGGATCTTATGGGAGGGAGAAGTCTTCATTCTCATCCTGCGAGAGGACCCTCTTTATTCATCCCACAATCTTCAATTCTAATCTTCAGATCATTTCTGCTTGTGCGATTCGAGCGGTGCCGCCCGAGAAATTCCACGGGAGCATCTTCCCAACGAGCACATCGTGGCAGCATGCGGCTAATCCAGGCATCGTTCCATCGTAATCCCTTTGAGTGAGCGATTCAGGTCAAACTTTGGATGAGGGTCCCTTGATTATGGAGACCCTGAGTATAAATTCACTCGGAGAGAGTTTACAGAGCCGGATAGGATTCATAGGAATTCACGATTCGGGGCAGGCTCATGACCGGAATTTCGGATCAGGTATCGCCATCGCCCGAAGTTTCGTTCGGAACATGGCGAAGATCATAATCATCACCTCGCTCTGCACCGGCTGCCGGTTACCATACGTCCTGTGTGTACCTTGCTCGTAGAGCGGGAGTTTGAGAACAATCATTGATTACGAATAACTTGACTTTATTCCGAATAGGTCATTCTCCACGTCTAAACACTAATGAACAAACTAATGATCCCGTGAATTTTGTGTCCCCAACGATGTCGACAGAAACGAACGATTCCGCTTCGAACACTCAATGTAGAATACTCATGCAACAGTGTGTTCACGCAGAGCTGCGTGTTGATGAAACAAACGTGGTATGGGCACTCCTCGATGGGTGGCAATCTAAATGTTTATTTTATATGATACATAGAGATAATTTGCCCGCTCTCCTTTGAGATTCTCGCTGCTTTATTCATGCGCTCCTCGATTTTTCAGTTGACGATCGACCGAGGTGTTCTCATATATGTCTCATTCTTCAAGAGAGCAACGGAAGATTTTGCGCGAAAAGCGGCTCAATTTGCTCTCCAATTGAAACTCTGTGAGACCGAATCAGGTGAGCCTCAGGGGGCATCACATCCAGCTCGTCACGAGACAAGAATATCATGGCTTGTCTTCGACAAAGAAGTACATGTATAGAAAATCCATTTGAAACGTCAGGTCGCCTATTGAGCAGATCCGACTCTGCTTGCAGGAAGACACGTTTCTATCCTTGAGCTGCCGGCCGACGTTCTTCTCATCCCTCAAGCGTGTCTGGGGGGTAAGAAGAAAGGCAACAGCATGCAGTACCATCAACTGATAGACAAAACGCGAGGTCGAGAGCTATTCGACGTAAGTTCGATCTGCAAGGAACGAGGCCTGGAACAACGTCCTCACGCAATGCCGACACGCTGTTCGACAACCATTGAACAGCTGGGATTCCTACTTGAGCCCAAATGAATGCCCAAAATCGAAGCGGAATAATTCCCTGCTGAAGTCTGTATTCGAATTAGCTTTCGCGAAATTCATTGATGCCCATATTTTAGAAGAAGCACTCGTTCTGGTTCCAGGTGATGAAATCAGAACTTGAAAAACTAGTCAGTCTCTCGAAGCCCCAGCATTCAGCCGGTAACTCACTCAGAGGGTCCATATATATTCATTCTTCCATTGATTCGATTAGTTTAACAACTGCAGCACAATCTCAACAAGGGTATTAGTTTGCGGAAGCTCTTCTCAATTCCATCGGCAACGTTGCATCGATCACATCTTACTAGGTGCTAGCGATATTTTCGATATCACAATCTGTGGGTCTTCGAGCTCTTCCCTCCCGCACAGTGCTCTGAGTGAGCACATACTCACATACTATCGATCCTTTACCACTAACAATCATCTTAATTCATGTAAGTCATTCAATTCTAGACGGAGCCGCTCGGCCCAGAGTACTCAGCGGGATCTACGGTCAGCGCCAAAAGCTCAAAATCGACGCATCATTGGGTCCTTCATCCCACGTGATCGATTTATGAAGAACATATGCTTGTATATAAAGTAAGTTACGCTTTGGGCTCGATGGCGTTACGATCGCGATTCAATCACAACGTTGCTCATCGAATTCGTGGAGGAGACGGCAATAAACTTTAAGGCTCGTGAGCCTCCCAGATTCGCTGGAATTCCCAGGCCCGATTCCACTTGGCGCTTTCCTCGATTAAGGAATATGATGGTGATGAAGTCTGGTCCATTCATTCGTCTGGCGGTCGGTCATCTTTTCTTCCCAGGAACAAGTGGAGAGATGAACTCGGAATCATTCTTCTTTCATGATACACCATACTCGCATAGCTTGCTCACTTAGCTCGGTCGCCAACCGGTGGCATTCGGTCCGAACTTGTAAACCAAACGGCGTCCGAAGACAGGCAAGAGAACCTGACTCTTGTAATAATACCTGAGCAAGGAAAGGTTCGGATTCAGGAAAGGCTCACGGGGGATCTTTAGTGGTATCAGTATACGGTTCCAAACATAAAAAAGCTCACCTCATGGCTCTCGAGAGTTTTTCGTAGGTCATGCGAGGGTTTTGCTTGCGATCTCCCCACATTTTGGCCACTTTGTCGCTCTGGACGAACTTAAAAACGCCATCCTCGCGACGCTCCCACCTGATCAGCGATGGATTCGTCTCTGGATTGAGGAGAAGATCTCTGGAATTTTGAAAAACTCGATTGTAGCCATCGCAGGTCGGATGTGAGTTTTCCGTACGGGATCCCCAATCGCTTTCGATGATGATCTATCACAACCAGTACTTCCGACTGATTCCAACCTGATGAACTCCCAAAGTTTCCCCATTCCTTTGTTTGCGTTCGAAGTGGTTCTGGGTTCCGATGTGTAATTCGAATCAGGGGTGGACACGTTGGAGCTACAGGTGGAATGGCCATCAGTCTCCTCGGATGCGACAAACAGAAGTTGCGTGTTGATTTGTGGGTCTTGCGTCGTCTGAACAAGATGCGGCTGTCGAGGGATGCTCTGATTCCATCCTTGGATTTGGTACGCGTCGAGGTCATGGAGCTCTTCCGCTTCCTCCTTGCACGGGGGCAGATTTTCTGGACGAATTTGAGTGGAATAATTTTCGCGGGTCTCGGTCGAACCATTTGAATGAATGGATACATATGAAGTAAGTACATATATCTATGTACACCCCCATAATCGACTCACCTCTGTAATCGTTATCCATACTCTGAGGGAGCTGTTGCTGAGGCTGTGGGGGAGGTGGTGGCTGTAGCGCTTGCTGCTGCTGCTGCTGTTGTTGTTGTTGTTGCTGCTGCTGCTGTTGCTGCTGCTGTTGTTGCTGAGAATGGATCGCAGCGTTGCCCGCCGTCGCCGACAGCCAGCTGTTAAGCAGCATGTCATTCGTTTGCATTGGTACGCCTTGCATTGAGGCATGGTGATTGAGATCGGCCTGCATGAACTCAGGTGGCAAATTAATCTGAGGTGGGGTCATCATGTTGAAGTATGACGTGCCGGGAACACTCTGAACGCCGGGAATCGAGCCGAGGGTGTTGGTCAGAGGCTCCAAATCGTAGTAGGCTATGGCATCCTTGTTCTCATCGAAGAAGAACGTATCATCCACTTCGCTCAACGGCACCTGAAGAGTATTAAATTTTATTCGGATTTATGTCGCGTGTTATGGATGGTCGTCAAAGGACAAGCCCGAGAGAATGTTTTCTAGGCCACAGATTTTCATGTACGACAGGATGGGAATGATTCTCGATATTCCGGTAAGGGGGCGTTTCAGGTCTCTGTAGTCCAGGGGCTACCTATTGCTTAGAGCGCCGTCGTGACAAAACCCTGACGAAATGAATTATAATATGTTAGCGATACGGTCGAAGCGATCTCAATTGGTGACAGTCTTTCGTGTCACGAGAATGCAACAGGCAACCATCCGATTATCGAGGAAGTCCCGCACGGAAGGTCCCTCGGATTTCGAGAAAGTATCTTGTTTCCAAAGCCGCTCAGAGATTCCGCGGGTCTCTGATTACTGCTCGATCTTCTTCTTGAATCACAGGGCGGTCGCTTGGAGCGTTCCACGAGGCCATAGCTGATCGCGAGGGACGGTAATTGATCAAAATATTCGTCGACAATGGACGATATCCTTCATATTATTCGACGCATTTTTGAGAGCCAGAGATAATTCCCTCATCTCTGTGCTCGATCCGGAAGCTGGGCGGGGTTGGAACTTTCCGATTTTTCCCCGCGAGAGTCGTGTATTCCCCGTGTGAACAGAATTTTGAGATCAGAATTCAAGCTTCGGCTTGAAGTCCACTCATTGAACCGACTGCTTTCGAAAATCTTGGAGGCTTTACACTAGAATAAACCGAGTGTCAGCTCTCTCATGCCGTGGCTATCTGAGCTGAGACTACAGCGCGCCCTATAGAAAGCCCGAGCTCGTCGTCGAGGTCGGTTCGGCTTCTTCCCCGAAAGAAAATTCGAAGACAAACAGAGGGAGAGATGCCCGACCCATTGCGCTAGGAAGAGAGACCCGTGGTCGCCGACACTCACATCGCCAGTCTGGAAATGTTTCGTGCATGAGGTGTCTCAGAGCGGATTCCCCTTTAAGTGCAACGGACCGAGTGGACAACGTGCACCGCGTGCCGAGGTTCGTGTTCGACACGTGATTACGTGCGGAAAGGAGCAGCATGCGAGCCCTCTCAAGGAGCCTGTCTCGAGATTTGGAAGCAGCGGTGCTCGTCTCCTCGAGCCCTGAGTGACTGAGTCCTGGGGGGATTGTCGTATCTAGCTGCTCCGACAAAATCCCAGTTGTGTTTCATTTGGATCCGATTCGAGAGTTTCCAAAAGCGGAACGCACCGGTTCCCCTCGGAGCGGTGTATCCGTCCATCGCTCCGCGGTCCCTCGGCTCTTCCATAGGACTCCTCAGCTCTGCGAGGTAAACTGTAGGCGTTCCGCCTCTATCGGGCCCTCAGGTTGCCCTCTCGCCCTCGGCAACATGTCGGCCCGGTAGTGGCGACAGACACTCGATCGAATCTGGCCGGAGTCGTGCCAGTACGACACACTCGCTGCTGTGGTGCTAACGGAGAGTTTCGTCGACTTTCGCTATTGTCATCATCGCCTGATCATCGAGAATTGGACCGAAGACTCGCTGCATCTCATGGGAAGTGATGTCAACCCCGAATTCTCGCTCGAAGAGCTCGTGTTCGAAGACCAGGCTTCGCGCAGCCGTGCTATAGTATTGGACAGTTTTTGTTCGGAGTCCTGTGCGGCAAGCCTGAGCAACAGAAGATTCCTTTTCGGATGGGAAGAACAACGAACCCCCGCCCGAGTCCCAGTCATGTCAACGACAACAACACGAAGAAACATGAGAACAATCACATAATCACGATGGCCAAGTGACCGATGAAGGCGTTCGCCCATAGACGCAAGCTATCGCGGACTCCGTGGTACGAGCCGTCCACGATCTGAGAAAGGCATTTTCGGTGGAGGAATTCTTCTTCGGCAGCCCGAGAGACCTCACAAGTGTGCCGCGATGTATTTGGACCCCAACGAAGTGATATGGATTGTGGCGCTTGCGTTCATAGTGGCATTTTTCCTGGCGTTCGGTGTCGGCGCGAACGACGTTGCGAATTCGTTCGGAACGTCTGTCGGCTCGGGAGTGCTCACGTTGAAGCAAGCGTGCATCATGGCCACGATTTTCGAAATTCTAGGAGCCTGTCTATTAGGTTACCGCGTCTCGGACACGGTTCGTAAAGGAATATTCGATATCGCTATCTACGAAGACGATGAGAAAACTCTGATGCTCGGAAATTTGGCCGCTCTCTGTGGATCGGCAATGTGGAACATCATCGCTACAGCATTCCGACTGCCGGTTTCCGGAACACATTCAATTGTCGGAGCAGTCGTAGGTTTCTCGCTCGTCGCTAGAGGATTTTCCGGCATTAATTTTCGAGGACTGCTAAAAATCGTCGCGTCGTGGTTCATCTCGCCCGTGCTATCGGGCCTGCTGTCCGCTTCGATTTTCTACTGTATACGGCGCTATATAATTTCGCAGAAAAACGGCTTCGACATCGGTCTGAGGGCCTTGCCGCACATTTATGGAGCAACGATTTTCATCAACGTGCTCTCGCTCGTGCTCGATGGGCCGCCGCTCCTCAAGTTCGACAGGATCCCAGGATGGGCAGCAGCCGCAATCTCATTTTTGATTGCGTCATGCGTGGGTTTCGCTGTGTGGAAGTGGTACGTCCCCAAACTGAGGACCCAGATCCAGACCGACGAAGAGCAGGCCGACGCGCTCACGGAGCCCAACAAATCATCCCAAGCGACTAGCGACCCTCAATTAAACGTTGACTTGATAACGGGAACCAAGACGACGAACGGTATAACCAAAAGTGCGAGTGCCGCATCCTCGGCAGCTATGCACGCCGCACCGCCGACGGCAAAAACATCTGAACTGCTCCTCCAGCCGCCGAAGGTCCACATTCCTAGATCGATGCATTCGATGGAGAAAGTTGTCTTTCAAGAGCCGCCGAAAGAGAAACCCGAGGTGGCTCGATTGTTCTCTTTCCTCCAAATACTGACAGCGGTGTTCGGCTCATTCGCTCATGGAGGAAACGATGTCGCCAACGCTGTCGGTCCTCTGGTCGCCGTATGGCTAATCTACACCGATGGTTCCGTTCAGCAAACTTCTCCCACACCCTTCTGGGTGCTGCTCTACGGGGGGATCGGAATCAGCGCCGGATTGTGGATCTGGGGCAAGAGAGTCATCCAAACGATCGGTAACGACCTCACTAAGGTCACACCCACAAATGGCTTCTCCATTGAAATCGGTGCGGCGTCCACCGTACTGCTAGCTTCGAAATTGGGAATTCCCATCTCTACCACTCACTGTAAAGTAGGTTCTATTGTATTCGTAGGCTGTACCAGAAATCAGCAGAATGTCGACTGGATACTGTTTCGTGGTATCGTGGCCGCGTGGCTGTTGACGCTCCCCGTCACTTGCGCTCTAACGGCAGCGATTATGGCCGTTCTTATGCAAATAGGGTAAACGCAACAGCTCTCCAACTGGGAAGGACGCGCGCAATTGTTTGGCAATCGTCGATCCGATGGTCGTCGATCACTGTCTCGATCAGCCGACGATCAGGTACCCACTCGATTGGGGAGCCTGCGTCGCAAGGGAAAGTACCGCGTTGGACTCTAACCGCTAGAAGGTGGATCTTCGGACAGCATCTCGACATTCAAAGCTAGACAAGCAGCATCAAGCCGCATCAACGGCTTCAGCCGTTGGGACATTGGATTCCGGAATTCAGGATTTCTTCCCAAATTGATCAACATGACGCTCATTGAGAGAGAATCATGCGGAGAGAGAGGGTGCCCGTGGAGGAAAAGTGTTTCCGAGCTCGGTATGATGATTTGTTGTTGTTTAGAACTCGGATGAGTGTTGAATAGTTCGAGGATTATGCAGATGATTATTTTTACAACAATCAAAAGAATTCGCTCAATGACGAAAAGACTATCGGGACTTTTTCGGCTATCGTAGATTGACTCAATCTTACAAGTCGACGTGTACATAATTCATTCAATTGGTCGGGACAAAAGACCGAGAGCGTCCAGGACAATGTTGTAATCCTAGGAGAAGGTCGTGGGTTAATAAACACTGAAATGTCTCAAATGGATGGAGGATACCAGAAGTCATCGTTCACGTCATTCGACACCACGAAAAGATGGCACCTCATGTACAACCCATCGCGCCTCCGTCGTATTCTCAGTGTCCAGTGTGGACCCGATTGGTCGGCTCCCCGTGAAAACCGGATATTCGCAGCATGGATCGGATCGATGCGCAATCGATCGAAACCTTTAAATGGCCCGAGAGGGTCGGGCGACCTCAATCGTCCCGACGCGTCTAATTTCGTATATCGGTACGTACTTGTTGGAAATCCATGCTGATCGTCGACGGGTGAAGCATTATTTTGCAGAGACTTTTCCTGAAACGAAAAGAACGCAATTTCGGTCAGATTCACCAGGGATTCAGGGCCTTGAGAAAGCTGGGCGACTAGCACGAACTGATCGAACGCAACACTTCCAAGGCTGAAGACACGATATATCGCGGTCTTGCTTGACTACCAAACTCGTTTTTTGAATCGCAGATCGCTTGATTGACGGTGAGGTGGCCAACGTTATACCTATGCGATGACACAGCAAATCAATGACGAGTCATCAATGGAAAACGGTACAAGTCTGCCTCATTCGATCTCGAATACCCGTGGCTCAACACTTCGTCTGACTCGGAGACTCCAAAGCCCAGGCGACTCTCATTCCGTCCCTTGGGGGGAAGAAAGCTCCGTTCATCAAACAAGTCGCGAATTTCACAGGCCATCTATCCGTTTCGGACCCACCCTGCGGAAACCAACGGATCCGATTAAGTTCCTTTTTCGCTCGAGAGTCTGTCGCGAGACTTCGATAGAGACGCAGGCCATCGAGATCAGGGGCGCACATTTGTTCCCAAGGCTTTGGGCCAGTATACCAGGGGCGCTCCGCTGATAGGCGAAGCTCTAGAGTTCTCGCTGATCGGAATTCCGCCGCGAATTCCGAAGGGACATCCTCTGGAGCGAATCAACGGGGGAAAACCTGATCTTTTCCAGGTAGTCATCTTTGCTCGAGAGAATAAGTGCTCCGGATAACCAACGACTATCTCTCTGCTTTCCCATGATCACTGCCGGTCGGAACCCGAATCTCGTCGGAGACACTCCTGAAGGGGGAGATCGAGGGAAGAAATTGATGTTTGCCTCCAGATGCTCTCTACAGTGAGGGAGGAAGGTTTCTGAGCGTAGTGGTTCGATTCTCGTTCTCGCTCAGCGAGTTTGAGGTTAGCATTGTTCGAGTTCTCTATTCATTTGGTTTTGCCTGAACATTTTCATTGATATCTGAGTTCCTACATGGGGCCGAAAAAGGTTACAGCCGGCTCCTCCAATGTCGGGGTCTATGGAAGAGTTCTTGAGTTGCGTTCGCCCTCAGCCAGACGTTTCGAGGTCGACAAATTTTCCGCAGAGATTTATACCCGAGCCCCGGGTTCCCTTGGGCACGATGCAGGAAGCGTCGTCCAATCGCCATTGGTTGGAGTAGGGAGGAGTGAGGTACATCTCATCCAATGATGTTTGTTGTCTTTCTGCTGAGCGTTATGGCATTTTATGACTTTTTCCTCCGCAATTTCCAAGGGCAGGCCAAGAAAATGTGAACTTCCGCAATAAGAACGATGTTCTCCCAGTCGAAGCGCCGCGGGGCTGTTGACTCCGAACAACGACTGCTCTCCTCTGCTAATCTCGGTCGGAGCTCACGGCAGTGAAGTCCCCATTTTGGGCAGCTTCCTTGCATCCTACTCAAGATACTCTCGTCGGCAAATTCACTTGACATCGAGCACACCGTAGAGCCTTCCAATCCTACCTACTACCGACTATTGAATCGCTTGTGTCCTCGTGAAGGGGATCCCAAGTTTCTGTTGATCCGGGAAAGAACAACTTACAAGTATCCCGGTATGGCGCAGAGGTATCGTTAGCCAGACGACTCGAAAAAATCGCGCTCCGGACTCAAAGCGCTAATTGGAGATTCCGAGTGTCGTTGTTGAACATCTTAGGGCAATCGAGTTGACATATTTCAGAATTAAAGTCAGGCGAAGTTTCAAGGTGACTGGTCTCGTATCCGGATGTCATTGTGGACTCTCCGTCCTTTGATTATTCCCGGCGCAAGACGACACACAAGCTCACAGGGCGATAGAATGAACAAGACACGCGGAGGCCACGAGATTTGGGACACGGATTCGTCGAGAAATTAAAGCTGCTCCGCGAAAGAGGATTCGTTCGGCTTCTTATTCCTAATCACAGAAGGAGCCCGACGCCACGCCGGAGCGATTTCGTCGTCATTAGTATACTTATTATTCGGAGAATCCGATTCATGGCAGGGAGAAGATGTTTATTTCTTTGAGAAACCTTCGCGAAGATTGATTTATTCGAAGGCTAGCAAAACGAACGAAGAAAAAACAATCTTGGGGAAACACGAAACTTTGCGTGTCAGAGATTTATGCAGAATTTTGAATATCGTTCCACTGAAATCGATGATGCTCGAACGTGATCGTCGCGATTCCAGAAGCATGAAGTTAGGAGATTAGCTCCCCGTGATACGCAATCGCGCATATTAACTTCATTGAGCATTCAATCTCTCGACCCTCGAGTGTAGATCGGGAAAAACATATCTCTCATACGGATAACGTTCCCGCAAAGTCATCGAGTCAAACTGTGCTCCCTTTCCCCGGACGCCTGAAACCCTCTGGGGTAGTCGTGGGAACGCAGCGACGCCGGGAAAAATCACTACGAGACAGCCAGAAATAATAAATTATGTCGCTGCGCAAAGGAGGATGGGCTTCCGTGGGATACGGATAGTTCGTGATCGGCACAACGAGCGGCGAGACACAACTCGAGCTATCGTTTTTATGTCGACTCCGCTTGTCAAACCGATATGTGCAAGATCCGAAAATCCGGTGTTTTCTAACAATGAAAAATGTTGAATTCGAGTCGCAAGCGTACGCTATCAATTTCGCTTTTTACATCCTGTTGGCGGAAAGGTGAATTGTTTCGACAGCGCCGCTGATGCCCGCGCCGCTGCCAGACTTAATCGCTTCCTCGAAAAGAGCGTCACTAACACGGAAACAATGAGCAAGACGCTTATTTCCGCTTTTGAATCAGCGGTCTGATCTCTCACTGTTCTTCACTTACTCGATAACTCACTTGCTCCTCCACTCCCGCTCGTTCGAACACAATCCACCGAGGGCCGTTCAATCGGGTGTGAAAGGTCGTCAATGACAATTATTATGCTGCAACTACCGAAGCTATCGCCCCTTCGATCTCGATCGGAAGCCTAACTCGGATCATACGCGGGACCACAACGCAACGTATTCATCGGAGCGTGTTCCGGGATTTCCGCCAGTACCCAGGTATACCGAGCAGTCCGAACTCTGCTCGTTATCTTCTTCCGCATACGCCAGGCTTCCGAACGATGCACACAGAGCTCGCTACCTCGCTGTCCGTTTTACCCAGCGACCATAGTTCAGAGGAACCGAATGTTGACGAGTTTGATCAAGCGTCTGAGCAGATGACCTTTTCTGCAATTAGTCTGTCTATTCATCTGTGATCGGACATCCGAAGAGCTTTCGGCTAGACAGTCAAGCCGCCGACCGAGCTAACAGCTTCGATCGCACAACGATTCGACGTGATCCGTCGACCAGCCGGGTGTGCATGAACGGATGATGTCTGTGGCAGCGTGCGAGTGAAAGAGTGCGATTAGTGAAGTCAGTCGATTAGCTTCTTTGACTGATGGATCAGAGGAGCGCAAAAGGCGCCAGCCACCGAATCACGCCTCCGTCTGAAATCTGTTTAGAGTTCGAGAGTCGATCTTGTTTATTTGAAAAAATCGCGCACGTTTTCCTTAATGCTTCACGATTTTGTTCATTCTACTTTACTTCCCTCTCGAGATGATACTACAACCAGCAACACTGACAAGTCGAGCTGAATTTTTAATTAGTGCCTCCGCGGGCCGCTTCGCCATGTGCGAGATTATTCTGGGGGATAAGCGCGCCCAGACTCATGAATCATTTTGGGCACGTCTCGGAAATTCACTCTCGAGTCGTAATCTCTTGCCTATGCGAATGCCGAGTCCCCGCAACCGGCACGGCATGATTCCATCTGAATCAAGTCGTAACGAAGTTGACAAAGCCTTCAGCAGGACCTTGGAGGTTGACGAGTTTCGCACACAAACGGTGAGAGAAGGGAGCGTTTTTTTTCTTGTTAATCACTTTATCGCGATGGAAACGCGGAGGAATACATTTTCTCGTTTGATCCTGACACGGAAAGCCACCTCATTATACAGACCAGAAACTGAGGAGCACTGTTCAGGATTCAGCTTAGGAATGACAGAAGTCGCGACTTTGATCCCCGATCGAGCGATCCCGAGCGGAATAATCGCTGAAATACGTCTGTATGTGGCGTGGGCACGTCTCTCATCTAACTCAAGGAGCTCAAATCGAATATTCTCCATGCGAATTCCGGCTCGAGCCGCCCGCGTCGGGAGAGCGCAAGTCATCGGATCAGGGGTGTAAGTGCTAGGGAACTGTGAGTGAGTTTTCACGGTTTAGTGAAAATGATTCCGCAAAGCTGAGGCTGGGCTATTCACTCGTTAATGTCTCGGTTCGCCTGAGATTCTCGGGTCAGAAGTCACAGCTGATTGTGAGAAATCCTCAGAAAAAGGGACAAAAAGAAAGAGCGACGTTTCACAAAGTTTGCTTAGGAATTAAGTGAGTGGATATCGCGGGAGAATGGACTTCTCGCTTTACGTAACATAAAATCGTCTCAGTGCAGAGCATGAACGACGGCGGAGCTCCGTAATAGGTTTCGGCATACAGACTCGTTGGCTTATCAATCATTCGAGCGCTCTTCTGGCAACAAGGAGAACGATCACGAGAATGAAGACGACACGAGAGCGGTTCCTGAGCGATGCGGTCCTGATCCGGCACGGCATCTCTTCCTCCGGGGACGCGATACGCCGTGGCATATGAATGAGCTCAGGATTCCCCGGTATGAGGGGTGAGCCTCCGGAAAACGCGAGATCCCGGAGGAAAGATTCCGCCAAGCTTCCTGGACAAGCCTTCGCTGATAAGCATTTCTCTCGCGGAGACCTGTAGATCGCCGAGATATCTCCTTTCGGAATCGAAGTGATCCCATCGAAGAGGAGCTCGAGGATTTCGTGCATGTCCGCAACGAGGTCCGCTCCGAGTGCGAGACCTCGAGGTCTCCAGGAGGATTTCCAATGATGCTGTTCACCGGTGTGGGACTGGGTCTCTACGCGTTCAACTAACCTGGACACGATTCCGCTGCCTTTCGAACACTCGATACCTGATTTCCGAAACTATTAGAAGACTTCCACCGTAGAAGGCTGAACACACTGGTCACAGTAATCGCAAATGGCATGAGAAGAAAACACACTCGGAGTACACGAGTATTCAAGTAGTAACAAACAACATCCGTGGAGGCACCAGTGCACACACGCTTGAAAATCTATCGGAACTCATTAGATAATGAATGACACCTTTGCTCCGAAGGGCCTACCAGAAATGTGGTGGATGCAACTGAAGGAGGCGGTGCTCCCTTGCCACCAGCGTCAAAACCAAGGACGTCTTCTCCTGACGCACAACGCCGCGCCGTCGCAACCAACGAGCCATTCAGCGAGCCAGATATCCGTACGGCTAGGCCGACAGAACAACATAATTGTCAGACGCCGCACTGCATAATGCCTCGGTAAGGGAGCCATTGGAAGATATATCCGATCCGCTGACGAATAACCTGCCAAACAAGCCAGCAACAAACGACCGTCTAGCCGATTTCCACGCAGACATGAAGCCAATGAAACGCGCGCTCATCTCGGCATCATTTATGTTGTTGTCGTCCCGATATAAGCCACAAATACGAATGTACCTAAAATGACGGATACAAAGGCGCCGATGTCCGGTGACATGCTCATTTTGAGCTCGCGAGCCTCAGAAAGTGGAATCATCTTCTCACGCTGCTGAGTCGGCACCGCTGTAATCGTCTCCACAGATACGCTATTAGTTCACACAGCTTCAGCCGATTTCTAATTCTGATGGATGGCGTGAGAAATCGTCATCATCCGCCCCACGTTGCAGAACTCTTCCATATTCTCCTGCATGTTCACTCTTATGTCGATTCTTCTCGTGTATAAACTCTCGGAATCGAATGTACGTAAGATCCGATGCTCACGGATTTCATTGTCGCTACCTAAGAAACAATAATTATTCTCAATTCACTCACTGTGTCCCGCTTTCGGCGCCTCCACACCTGAAAAATTGATTATGGTCAGAACTGTTCCTCGGAACGCAGCGGAGCGAATCGTCTCTCACGAAAATCGACAGGAGCATACGTTCTCTTTCTCGGAGACAGTGCACGCCGGGAAGCGATCGATGATTGTTCAGGTTAAGAAAAAGCAGCTGATTTCCAGGGCATCGTGATCACATGCAACAAAGTGGACGGGATAGGCCTATGGTCACAATGGGGAGATTCGTGCCCACCGTTGTTCCTTTTCCGGTTCGGTAGAGCCTTTCGCTTGAACGTTTCGTCCGATAGCCGCCGTTTAGAGCCGGATTCAGATTTCTGAGAGCCGATTTTGTGTCAAAGATGGCAGGTCGTGTTTGTTTGGGACTGTCGCGTTGTGTGTGTTCGCCATTCTTGTTCTATGTAATTCAAGAGCAAATTGTAAGTCTTCTAGTAGAGTCGTCTGTCAACAGTGAACAAAGATCATCCCGTTTCATTGTGAAGAACGTTGTCTAGTTCCCACAATTACGTTCACCTTGATTATACCTCGTTTCGTAGGCTTCACTGTCAGCCAACGATGACCGTACCTTGAAACGCTAGTGTATGTATACGCTGCCGCTTATCAAGGAGACGTTCTTTGGCATCATGGCCACGTTTGACGGATCAAATAGATCGGACTCGAGCCAAGACTTCAATTTCCTCAATTCAAAATCGACCTTTTCCGGAAAAATCCGAGCGAACAAGAGCCATACCGCTCTGAGCAAATTCGACGAGTGTCTTCTCGTGTTCACGAACTTCGTTCGGAGAAGATTTCAATTTCTCCAACCGGCTCCCGCGAAACACGACGTCTACTGCTCGAAGTATACGCGGAAACTGTTCGTGCCGAAATACGTCTAATTGTTGGGAGTCTATGCGAGGGCAACTCAATTACGGCAGTGATAGGATCATCGCATAAATAAGTTCAACTCTCCGTTCGTATCGGCAGAAGCTCGGGAGCAATTTTCAGCGAACACTTTTGATAAACACCCGAGAGCACGGATCTTTACCGGGCGTATTGTGCGATCCGGGGAATCAGCTCGCGCACATGTACGCCTGCCGGTATGATTTGGCGCATGGGAGAAATGTCTGTCCAGAATCTGGGAGCAGCTTGATGTGAGTAATTTTTAGCTGTTTCCCGCCCCGTCGCAGCGCACATAAAAAACCTTCAAACTCGATTTTCTTGCGTGCTGTTTCAGACTTCTACGAATTAATGCTCCTGCAAGGGCTGCCGTATTCTCTTAATATCCGACCGCCCAATGCTGCAATGCCCGCGCGCCGGACAGTCAGACCGTCGGCATAATCCAAGGTCGCTTTCGGCAGGAACAACGTCGCCGGCAGCACGCACGAAGGTATTGTACAGCTATTTGATATATCGCTTGAACTTTCTTGAAAATCACACGTCTGGAATCGGAAAATCCGAATCGCTAATCTTTCGCAAAGGAAGCAGCGCGGTTTCCCCGCGCTTCTGTAAACGGGTAGGTTCCCCCAGAGTCGTGGTCGAAAGGAAAAATTCGACACGAGCAGAAGTCGGTTGGGTGGTTGACGTTAACTGTCGAGTGAACGATTGTGAAGAAGACGTCGCCATGCGACGCCGACGTGATGATGCGACCACCGGAGACGCTAATAAAAGCTCAGCGGACCATTCCGTAGTCAAAATTGAAGTAAGTGCCACTAAAACATTCGTTTTCTCGCTCGTCTGGACGCGAGAACTCACAACCGAAAATGGTATGGGTGACAACGGAAGCTGGGAAGCACTGCGATCCGAGAGCCGGCGAGGAATTCCGCGAAAAGCGACCGCTTCGAAAAGTTCGCCAGATAACGTAATTGAGAGCGGAACACTGAGTTCGACTGGCTGATGTGAATTAGTCCGGAATTTCGCGTCGATGAGCGCGAATCCTCGGCCCCCGGAAGAATCTCCGAATGCTCTTCCCGGCATCGAGCTTCTGCAGCATGCAGCGAGGCGCGCCGTTTCTTTCCTGTCACAGGATGGGAATGCCCTGAACACGAGCGAACTCTTCCTCTATTCAATTAAAACACTTCCGTTCAGATTCCTCGCTTCCGTGACTGGATCATTGTCCAATTTAAATGCTGCTCCTGTCAGTCCTCCTCTTCACTTCGAGATATCCGATCATAATGAAGACAACACTTGACTGGGACCGGATCGCACCGTGTGCATCGTGAGACATGGGGCGCTTACATTCAAAGCCTCAACTCGCCATGGCGCGACGATCATTGAATCATCGCATGGTGATTATTATTGGTTCGGGAGCTCGTCCGCCGACGAGCCGCGAAGGGCAGCGAGTGCGGAAGGGGCTCCCGTAAGCCGAAGTTCGGTAACGCGATTGAAGCCGCGGAGAGAAAAGAACAGACGTAAAATAAAGACCTACCACAATGCCAACAGGAATCGCAGGCAGGCGACAAACAGGCAGAGTTCTTTCAGCAAATGACCTCCGTCGACTTTCTGAAAGTTCACGTCACAGACGACGCTATGCGTTCGTATACGGCAGGAACTTACGAGCAGATAACAGCGCACAGCGTGACGGTCGCAGTGCACACGAGAGAAAAATGCACGGCACCTTCTTATCACCGAAAGAGACTGAAACGAAATTGTCCGAACAACCAAGACGGCGGATCGCTACCGAAACGTCACAACGCTTACAAAACGGACCCGATGAGAGCCTTCGATCGTCACCCTCTGACAATTTTCGTGAGGCGTCCGAACAGTTCAGAGCAATTCAGTACCGAATTGGACGGAGTTCAGGGAGCATACGGCCCACGGGTCTTTCAGACAGAGCGCCGGCTGACTCGGCGGTTTCCCAGAATCTGCTCTCGTTGATTTGGACTAAGAGAGCAGAGCGATGTCACGAAATTACAGCGATGTCGAGCTCATTCCCAGATCGACCTCTGGAAGTTTCAGTTACCCATGTCTGAGCCTCAATGTTGGCATCGTCTGATCAGGCCCCAGGCGGGACTTTGTCGGGTAGGACCCATCGGCGTCTCAACGAAAAAGGAATTAGGAATATCGCAGTGAGCTAGCTGCGTCCCGGGCTCATGGTCCCACCGATTGGAGGCTCTCCCGCGACGACTCGCATCTAGACTTCCGGCGTCGGAGGTGCGCCTTTTCGGACGCGCCGATTCGAAGCCAAAATGACGAATGCCGGACGCTTGAGAATGGAACCTCGTCGATATCAATTCTTCAGAGTTTTTGTTCCATGAATCACTTTCCAACGGGCGCGTTTTTGTCGACGGAAACGTTCCTCGTTGTTACAAGCTCGCGGAGGAACGATATGGGTATGCACACTCCTTGAGCGTACACATCTAAAAATCACATGCTTCGGGGAGAGAAAGCTTTTTGTTGAATTCGTCAGGGCTGATTTTTTCGCCTTATAATGAACTACAAGCGGGGCTGCTCGGAGGGATATCGAGAAATGGAGTTTCCCCATTCGTTCCATGTGATATATCCGGATTCGGGGCAAGAAAACACTTCTTGCCGCGGAGACAGGTATTCGATGCTCTTTTTCGTGCGAAGAACTCTTCTCGGGAGCCCGCGCTGGCGAGCCTTAATCACGAATAACTTTCGAAATATCGGGTCGGCTGTGAATTTCTATATCTCTGCGAGCTCCGAGACTATCCTAGCGTCGATCGCGTTATGATTTTTGTCTCGATGATCGTATCTCTCTAGACTCCTGCACTCGCACCGGGGAGCCTTTGACGATTCTGTGGGCTGGAACGAATCCCATAATAGATTTCCCAGAGCCCATCCGAGCTCAGTGTCGCGTTGTCACTCATCCCGACTTGCTGCTTGAAAATCTTAGGGAGACTATCGGGAGTGCCGGTGCTACTCTCGCTCAGACGTTTCAGGTTGACGGAATCACACGGAGATGGAGAGTTTATCGTCCGGAGTCGCATGGGCACTTCGCTTCATGTGAAAGCCATCGGAGAATTTACATAAAAAAATCGTTTCCTCTCTCCCACATTTGAGCGGTTTTTGATGAGATGATAGAGCCCGCGATCGCACATGTCGTAAGCAATCGTGACCAGAAGCTTTATTTTTCCAACTTAATCCCACATTTTATAACGCGAGGGAGTGTCGCAATCTCTTAGGCGCGTATTGGAGACTTCCATAAATTATCATCGACTAGGAGGCCAGAAGGCTCCGTTCGTCCACTGGGAGCGGTATCAGTCCGCGGCAATCGCTCTCAATT